ACTTTAACACACTTTGTTTTAGATGTTAGAATACCTATGGTAACAGTGTATGATTTCTGCAAAGTATGTTGTTACTTTGTTGGATATTTGTTTAAAAATCCACCTTGAATGATTAAGCGATTTGAAAACATACGGAATCAGAATTTGACCATAAATGTGTTTTTGTTGATTAGATTTGCGTATTTTTATTAAATTTCAAAGTAATAATTGTATTGTACACATTACATTGAAAACTAAAAATGTACTATTTAGGCAAACGAAAGTAGTATTAAAGAAGACAGTATATCTTGATTTTTTTTTATGTTTGATTTTGTTGATGACAATTGGATACATTTAAATTGCAATTGAAAGTCTAAATAATAACGTATCATTATTTATTTGAATTATATTGTTGAATCGTCATTCTTTAAAATCCTCTCAAGATGTTTGAGTCGTCCAACATTTATGCATGAATGAGTTGTGTGTTAATTTCTCTAATCTCTTACATGAGTGTTTGGATGATGTTTTTTTTTTCTTCCCATCATTCCTTCCCTTATCAGTGGATACGGAAATAGCCTTTACATTGAACCAATCTCACTGTCGCCAAATGTCACCATACGATATCGTCCAGACCAGGCTGTTGGAACAAATACAGGTATTCATATGAATTTGTAGTGATCAAATGTGACTGTATACATGTTATAGAATTGTTTGCAAGAGTGGATATTGTAGGTTTGTGTTCTTGGTCGTGTGAATTTACATGCCCATTAACTCTATACGAAGAAAATGTTATTAATCAAATAACAAATTCGTTATACAGTTGAGAAATATTAATAGGAACAAATAGAGAAACGCAATTGTAAAAGTGCAATGCACAACATGGAATTGTAAATGTACGCACACTGCGCACTTTACAATTGCATTCCTTTATGCATTCGTACACATTTTCCGCATCCAACGAACTTAAGAGCTGCATTCTCTCCTGTGATGAATCAATTAAACCGTTTAAACATTTTAAGATGAAGATACTGCAGCATGACAGCAAGGTGGATAGTCTTCAGACTTGCTGTGCGTCAATGTTGTCATGCAACACGTAGCAGCACAATGTATGGTATATTGCAAACCGGTATTTTTTCGGTTTCTGTAAAAAAAAAGATACGCCTCTGTTGAAATACCCTGTCCTTTGCACGTGAATGAAAACACCTGCACACTACTGTCGTAGATCCTATCTTGGTGTCAAAATGCATCTTGACATTGGGATGTTGGCGTGACTTTGTCAGAAGCCAGCACACTTTGCAATTCCATTGAGATTGTCTTAGAAAAGTTAAAAAAAAATATTTTACCACACAGTGTCTAAGTAGGGAGTATTATAACCATGGCTTTTGTATAAAATTGACCATATTTTGAAGGTTGGCATTTCCCAGGCAATTGGTTTTCAATTAACCACTCGCAAAAAATGTACAACCCTTCCATGCGGTGGTGAATAAACTTGAAAAGAAGAACATATGGATGTCTGTCTGTTAGTAAATTACGATATTTTTTGTGATTCTCATTGTGTGGCATGCTGCTGAACTATTTTAGTGACGATGCCACGTAATGGAAGATGCACAAGTCACACCACGTGTTGAGAAAACCCCCAAATTTATTAAATATCACTCGGTTCTTTTTGGGACCACATTATCCGACCCAGATTTAATTAGGATACTCGTCTGGAGTTATGGTGTCCTTATTCTTAGACTATATTGAATGTATTCACCATATTTCATACAGTTTTGCAACTTTAGCAAGTTCATTAGACAGTTTGTAAAGTGTTTGTAAACTCATTAATATATTGACTGTATTTCAAATGAATACTACATTTTTGTTGCTATGTATATTCAATCAATACAATTTGAATTGGTTTGGTGCCATTCACAATAATTTGTCGCAAGATGCTTGACAAATACAGATACACGGTAATAAACAATTAAAAACAATAATAAATTATGCATCAATGTAAACAATTCAAATTATTCAATACAGAGATAAATTAAAATGCAATCTAAACTCTTATAGTACAGAAGATTAATTCACTTCTGGATAAAAGGCTCTCTTATGACTTTCGGTCATGGGGATTGTTTGACCCATGCTTCAATAAGCTGGCCATAGTGTGCAACGATTAGTGCACTGCGCTACGAACCCGGCGAGTTTGATTCTAGCTAATAACACCAGTGACGATTATCTGAACTAGATCTGGGCCTCCCCTAGGTCGACTCAGCCTCAAATGGTGAGTAGTGTAAGCATCATCACTGGGGAGACAAAGACGTCCGGGCGTGGTATTAACCACCCACCCCCTCATGTGCCATGGTGGCCTTCATAGGTGCTCACTTACAGCACTTGCCCTCACAGTCTGTTAAAGGCTATATGGGATATCTTTATCTCTGCTGGTCAATGTGGGTTGGTGAAGGTTGGGTGCCCAGGACTGATTAGGTGTAACTTACCACTGATGTTAGCCATGATCAGGAATCAAACTCAGGCGCTAACCATTGCTGGCCACCTGGGTTTGATTCCTAGCCACGGTGAACATCATTGTTCTGGCACGCTAGGCACTGCACTTTCACCAATCCATACTGACCAGTGTCGTGAGGTGCGACCAAACAACCTTTTTGATCTAAAGGGCTTTATCCAGCAGTGGATTGGTAAAGGGCAATGCTGGTATGTTAAAAAGATAAGGCATTGTGTGTTCAACGAAAAATCTTGACAGCAATCACGAAACATTCCTGACACATTCGTCATGAGCACTGGAACTCGTACTTGCAGATATGAACTGCTTTCGTCGCACTTTGTTTATGCTCAGTGTTCTTTTGTGTTAACATTACAATGCAACATGTCTGAGGAAAATGCTGCTTCATTCAATACAAGGTCAAACACTTACCCTTAAAAATATTGTTTTTATGTTCATGTAACTCATTGCGAAATATTACCTGCTTTTCGACAAGTATGAGAAATTTTACAACGCTACCTTCACAATTAACTCCAAAGCGTTGTTTTCCAGTTGTCAGGGCCATGATATAGCTGGTTGCAACTGCCCAAAGCATGTAATTATTGTAATGTGTTGCATACATGTCAAAGTGTGTCATATATGGCCACATTAAAGAAGACACTTGGTTTCCCATATTTTCCAAAACAGCAATAAAGACAATGCACTTAAAATGTGTTTTCTGAATGCTTCAGAGAGTCCAGGGGATTAATTGTTTCATGATCAGCATGGAAAGCAAACATCAAGTAATTCCCGTAGGGTAAAACAGTTGTATTCACGTAGAGAACTGAGTGTATTACAGCACCAGTGTGCATACATTTCAAATTCTCTCATCATCATCTGGCTTGGTCTGTCCACTGCTGGTTGAAGTCCATCCAATTTAAGATGCGTATTTCGCTAGTTAACACCTTTTGTGGAGATCAACCCTATGCTCTACATTATTAGGGAGTCATGAAAAGAGGATGCTCTATCTTGGTGTATATTTCACCTTCTCACTAAGGTATATGCTTAAACAAAACAATTAAAATACATAGACATATATAGCAGTGCTCTTAAATACATGTTTTATATGATAAAATTATTTGACTCCATTGCAGGCTTGAAGGGGAGATCAACACTCAGGTTGGATCTTAACTCATTGAATACCAAAAATCCAAAACGCGAATGCCTAAATTGGTATCAAAGTGAGGGATACGCCCCCTACTTCAGTCCCTTCACTACCTGCCCTTGCTTCTACTGGCAAGGGTATTTTGACATGTCCTACGTTGACGGGAACATCATACAAATGTATGGCTACAATCCTCCCTACGTCTCAGGTACGTTTGTAATATTTGCTGTTTTATGTCTGATTTGGTTCGCGATAACGGTGCTCATGGTGGTGATGTGATTTTTTGTTTACATTTTCTTGTCGGAAACAAGATCATGTGTCGATATTTATTGCATAAATTAATCTGTACCTTGAATTATATTACTGGAGCTGTTCTGAAGCAATTTAATATGCAATTTATTTCTCCTCATGTACTTATATTCTGCATATAATTGATTTCTGTAATGTTCACAATTGAGAACTTTTGTAACTATCTTGCAAAAAATTTGAATTCGCATTTGTTAAACCACGGAAGCAACTAATGCCATGCTACCTTTCACTCTGTCCAAACACATTCTCACACCTGCATCCTCTCAAAAAACAAATACTGGACTGGCAACGTGTGCAATTTAGGAGCATCTCGGAGTCTGCAGAGCCTTTGGCCAGACTACAATCGTGGAGGGGTGAGATGCCACTATAGCTGGTCGGGCTCTCTGCTGTCTGGTGGGTACGAGAGGTATCTGCCCACTCCTTGGAACTATTGGTCGTGGTGGTGGTGGGGTGGGGCGTATTATATGCAACAACAAAGACAAGAATATCAACGTAAGTTACTTAAACGATACGCTATTTCACTAAAAATAAAGTGGTGCTATTGTAGAAGTCATGTGATGTCATGGGCATATTTGAAACATATCGAACTAAATGTTTCAGACTTTGTAATCGTTTTGCACGATACGATACTTACAATTCAGCAATTTGATGATAAAGACGTTGGCAGATGCAATTGTATTTCACACCCGTATCATCTCGTTGTTGTCCTCTGATGTCCTTCAAGTACGAATGTAGATTGTTTAAAGGTTATTCACCTGCAGTACACTCAATCATAAGCCTGCCATTAGTCTTGTAAGCATTGTGACTCTACAATCTGTCATGCTTATAATGCACACGTGGTCAGTTTCTCAAGAAAAGTATTCAATATTTACATGGACAGCGAAAATCATGATCCAATTACATTTTGTCTTTGTATTGTATTTGTTTGATATAGTGTAGTATCGCAATATCGCAGAACCCTACCCATAGTTGTATCTTCGTTAGTCGAATACATGTTTCAGTTGCTTAATGAAGTCTCAAAACAATACTTTACAATGAGTGATTGACTAACATTTTATTACGTCTTCATTGTTTTGCTCAAATTAGAAAAGGAAGCGGATCCCTACCGATACTGCTGTCAGTCTGGAGATAGTCGGCTGTGTCGCCTGTACCAAGAGAAACGCCCTCGCAACCAATGCTCCTTCTACAGGCCTCCCTTCTTCGGTGAGTCTCACAGTCTCTTCGCTAAATAGCATATTTATATTACATGTATGTTCAGAAACGCAACATGCGTGATCCCGTCAGGATTGTGCTTGCATAGTGCTTCGATGAACACTCTGCAAGGATTTTGTGGTTGGCAGTACAGCAAAATGGATAGTTTTACTGCACTTCTATGCTGCCCCCCCCCACCCCTTTTGTGTATGCTTGGCAAATTCACCAACCTGTATGGACTAGCATAGTGGTGAAGCATTGTCACGTGATCACTTGCGAATTGATGGAGGGGCAATTGTATTATTAAGACAGAGCCAACATATAAATTACATCCTATCCACATAAAACATTTAGAATTGAGTAAAATATCTTTCCGAAAAATGTGACTGCAATTATAGAATATGTAATTGCTTACCTGCCAGCACAGTTCTACAAACACTTGCATGCACATTTATGCATGCAGATGTGTTTTACTGTGTTAACTCTTGAACGTGCACAACCTGCTGTCATATTTTTCTTGCATTGGCAGCGTTTCTCCTTGGCGACCCTCACATCACGACGCTGGACAACGTCTCGTACACCTTTAATGGCCTGGGAGAGTACACGGTCTTGGAGGTGTCTACCGATCAAAACGATTTCACCATGCAAGCCCGGACGGCGATCGCAGGGTCCAATGGGACCTCAAAAGCCACGTCGTTTGTGGCCATCGTGGCCCAAGAAAATGGCAGCAGCAAGGTGGGTAGGGAAATGGCTTTAGCGCTCAGCTTACCCCCTAACCCTTCGTCGTTTTGTTAACGTTTGTGGACAGGTGCACTTATGACAAAGTTGGCACAGTAGGGGGGGCACAGGTGGTGCATCGGCCAGTCATTTGAGTGAGTCAGCCCATGGCACCTGGGTCTGTCCCATGACCTGCTGCCAGTGGGCGTTTGACACTTCACGTGGCCCTAACGTGCACATAGCCTGGCACAAGTGCCACGGTGATGTCACCGCCACTTTGTGGCAAATGGCAGTTGTTGTTGTGAAGACGAAGTGCACCTGTAACGAGCTTTTGTGTTCACAGGTTGAATGGATTCTCAAAGACAACATCACTGTCGTGCTATTAGATAGTCAAGTTACTCAAGTCTCAGGTACCCCCTTTGCATTGAGGTGCACATACACTTAATATATAGTCATTGAACAATGCTGTGTGTGATTCTTTTTTGTGACATATGCAATGCATCACGTTTTTTTACGTATGATTTGATGTTTCATCATAATATACCAAAAAGTTCAGTCGCAGTCAGTACATACATTGAATGTTTCCTATTGCTTACAGAAAAACAAACCCCAGTAAGGATATTTTGTAAATTAGACCTTCGTAAAACCATCCTTGATAACTAAGTTAATGCGTTCCTGGATAAGAAATGATAATTTTGCTGTTCTCAAATGTGGTTTGTGGCTGTAAACGTTTTGCTCGGCACGAAATCCCACGTTTGCCTCCGTGGGATATCAAGCTGGAAGCTTGTTTGGAGAGTTCCTGAGAGGCTCCTGAAGAAGGTTCTTGTACGTGGAGCAAAACGTTGGACATCATGCTGAACAATACCTGATGCAACCAGAAAACACTTTGGAGACACACAGTACAGCGTGACGGCGAAAACGTACACATTAGTATTGCATGTGTGATCTTCGCTGTAGCTTATATATATTAAACATTTGTAATTTTTTTCATTTCAACGTGCTTTGTTAGAAAACAAAACGTTTTTCAACCAGACGTCAGTCGAGCTTTCGTATGGGTCAGTCATCGCGTCGTTCCCATCGGGTATCTCCGTGAATGTGACGGCTTCTTACGGGGCGCTCAACTTCATCACCCTGCTACCCCAAAAATTCGTCAATCAAACGCAAGGCTTGCTGGGTGAGATGTCCATCCATCCCACTCACCGCCACCACCACACCAAATGCTCATCTACCTCTGTCGGTCTGTGGGTTGTCTCCTTACGAAATGTTTTTTACTTGTGTCTCCAATAAATAACAGCTGACACATATAAATCATCTCAAAAATACAAACGCAGTATTTAAATATATTTTGTGATGCATGTAATTTGTGTGAGTGTTTTAAAAAAAAAAATTAAGTGTATTCCATATTTTACTGGCAGGTGTTTTCAACGGTGATCCTAAAGATGATTTTAAATCTAAGAATGGCACTGTGCTGCCCTTTGATGGAACAAATATCCCTCCAGAGAACCAGCTATACTATGATTTTGGAGTCACATGTGAGTAGTTTATACATTTTCTCAAATTGTGTCGGCTGTGTGGGTTGTTTGACCATACTTCACCATGCTTATCAGTGCAGATTAGTAAAATTGTGTGACAAGGGGGGAGCAGGAGCAATTCAGATGTCATTCGGCAAGAATTTGACATACAGCCTCCTGACTAACTTTGGTTATTGAACCAATTTTCTCCAATTTCCCTTCACATGTGTAGTAAGAGAAGCTAGCAGAGAAACACGTGCATTTTCATGGCAATATGCGTTTATATATGAGCATTTATATTGATACAGCTGAACAATTCTTAATACAGTAGAACTCCTTTTAATGATAGAAATTGGTTCCATTGAACAGGTCGTTACGTGATTTAGTCATTAAGCGAATATAGGAAATATATGTTAAAAGCTAAATTCGTTCCCATAGCATCGAAAGTTGCCCTTTTTTGACCCACAAAACACATACTTTATAATATTTAAACAATGGATATTAATACATAAACATACTAACAACATTGGAAACACATAATATTAAAAGAAACATGGTTAATCAATGCATTACATTAATATTTGCTGTACCTACAACAGCCCATCGTTAACAGGAGAATGGCGGGTAAGCGAACACATTGGGCTCTTTGGAGGCACTACACTACTATACACTACGCTAATATGCACTACGCTACTATACACTACACTACTATACACTACGCTAATATACACTACACCATATACTACACATTGGGCTCTATGAAGGTCCCGTCGTTAAGCGATTCGTCATTAACAGGGGTGGTCGTTAAGAGGAGTTCTACTGTAAACGCCATTGCAATTAAAAAAATTTGAGTCTTGCTATTGTAGGGGTGTTACGGAGGGGCTGTTATACAATGGGATCAGATGGGAAAGAAACACAGTGGGCGTGGCTATGTCGGTGCACGGGAAGGTGCTCCCAGCGACGTCCGCATCGGGCAGCCTGGGGGGCTGACTCGGACCTGGGATCCCCCGGGGCCCCACCCCTCAGCGGGGGTTTTGGTATAAAAGGGGATGAGCCGGAGGGCTCAGGGAGAGATGTTGAAGCTAACCAGTGAAGACTGAAGATCGTCATAATAGAGCCCTGGACTCCCCTGGATCGCCGCCCTTATGAGGGCCGAACAGGATCGAGCCAGTGGCGTGGTCCCGAGAGCCAGAGCCGGTGCTCTTGTAAGAGCTGGTCTGGGACTCCGGGTACCGTGAGCCCGACTTACCAGTGTCTGGCTAGCTAGCCTCCCCTAGCCCGTTAGTGGAGGACCCAGAGGTAGGCTAGGCGTAGCTAGAGAGTGTATCCCCAGTTAGACGGGTGAGGGGGCCGATACCCCCTCCAGTGTTGTATGTCAGTGTTGTGCTGTACCGACACATAATACGTGTGCCTCCAACCCCGGCGTCCAAGTCTCCTGGAACACTATTACACTATGTTCATGCAATCAGCACAATTTACATATGTTGTCGCGTGGCTTAAAAAAAAACACCTGAAAGAGTGGCCAAATAAAATTAAACAAGGAAGGTATTTCAGACGACTCGTATAGAACTGCACGTGAGCATTCAAATTCTTTTTTACATTTCATGTCACAACAACGTTTGATCTTGTTGTCATCGATCTCAAAACATATATTCAGTTTGTGAATGCTTTCTGAGGAATCACGCATTGCCGGCGTACGTCCTTGTTTAAGGTTCACTGCTTTTTGAGTGGAGTGTTATGGGTAAATTTTGGCTTAGAGACTAGAAATCAGTCAATTTATTTCCATACCAGGTATCTAAGAATACAAATTTTGTACGTGTTTTATTGAATTAAACTGATTTGGTAAGTAACCATCATTTAGTAAATGTTAACATCTAATTGATTAGCGTTAACTATGATGATGATCAAATATTAGCGAGTATTAAGATTAAAACTATTTAAAAAGGAATACATTATACATATAACTGTGGCTCTTGCAACTGATTTGGTAAGTAACCATCATTTAGTAAATGTTAACATCTAATTGATTAGCGTTAACTATGATGATGATCAAATATTAGCGAGTATTAAGATTAAAACTATTTAAAAAGGAATACATTATACATGTAACTGTGGCTCTTGCAACAGAATGACCTACGATTAAAATGCCTAGTACAACGTTGCAGGTGCATACATTCTTGTTATATTCACCGTTTTAAAAATTGTATATTTACAGGGCAAATCGCTATAAACACGAGCTTGTTTTCCTACAACACCAGTGCTGGGGAGAGCTGGCACACCTACAACAACAACAGCTTTGTGCCGATGTTTTATGAAGAACTCCTGAATCGGACATCAGCCGAAAAGCTGGCCAACGTCAGCGCTTCCTGCGGAGGGCAAAAGGACTGCATTTTTGATGTGCTCAGCACTGACGACCCCAATTTTGGAATGGCCACGAAGAACAGCGCTGGAGAATTTGGATCGCAGGGCCAAACACTGCGTGGGTTTTATTCGTATTTTTTCTACGAACAAGTGTTTATGTTATTAAATGATGAGTAAAAAAAGGTGAAAACTACTAAAAAAGCTTTGAATATTTTTTCGTTGCAGAAAACTTCCCTCCCAACATTACAAGCAGCGGACAGCTCTCGACCAAAGTGAATTCCACGGTGTGGGCCAGAGTAATTGCAGAGGACCCCAATAACGACACCATTGTCTTCACCCTTACGACAAACTCATCAGGCCTCACGATTACAAGTGGGTTATTAATGTCTATAAGGTGACCTTATTAGAAATTTCTATTACTTGAAAATTTACATCGCTGTCCGATGTACATTCAGAGTGCAGCGCCCGTTGTTCGGTGTGATGTCTGATGTTTCTTTCTACGTGCTGGAAAATTAAGTTCCTTAGGAGCTTCAGAAACTGAAGCTCCTAAGGAACTGAATTTTCTGAAGCTCCTAGGAAGACATCGGAGAGCTGTACAAAACACAACCGCGTACATCCATGCTGTAGTAAAATAAGCATTCGCCAAGATGAGACTCCAGGCCAAGGGCTCACCATGCTCATATGACTTTCTCTGTTGGTTGCCCAAAGCCAGTGGTGAAAATTCCACATTTTGCCATGTCGGGGTTATTCTTTCCATATGATGGTCACTCTTACATTTCAAAATGATTTAACATAATACCTATATTATAAAGTATATATTACAAAGGGAGAATTTATATAATACTTTTTTTCCACTGGCATATCCAAGCCAAGCTAATGAGTGCATGGCCCTCCCGATACGGGTGGTTTTCCACTGGCTAATTGCCGTGCCGAGCCAGAGCCAAACAGTGATACGCTTGCTTCACAAGCCATCTGAATATGGCGGGTTTAACTTAATCAACCATTTCACCATTGCATCTGCGACCGGTCTCCAAGCAAGTGAGAGCATAGTTCGAGGGATATGGCTGTCACTTTTTGGACACATTGCCCCGTCTTGATGCACAAACTCCAGAAATTGGTGCACTTCAGTTGGCGGCTGGCATTCTAAGTGGACTGCGACCCTCAAAGGAATGCCCACCACCGTTGTGGTACCCCCCCCACCCCCCGTGATACACGGGTCAAACAAATCACTCGAAACACTGGTATGGCAGCAAGAGCAGTTTATGCTAATGCTGTCGCAAGAGGTCACACGTTTGGCACAATCGTTATTCCTTCGCTATGTCCGATGAATGAATGGCCAAATATGGCTGAGGGGGGCTAATTACACGTTCATTGCATGTAACGTCAATAAATAAACTGTGACAACAGCGTCACTACACGCCTCGACTTTCTCACTGTGTGCGAAGTCAGCGGCACGACTCAGCTTCTGCATTGAAAAATGTACGTGGTGTCTCCTGAGCTGTGCCAGCCTTGCACGGCATGGCCCCAGCGCGGCCTGTTTGTCCAATGGAAAAAGAGGTTTAATTGGCACGGAGACTAAAATAAGGACACAGAATCAGCAATCTGAAAAGTTTTTTTTTTGGTGCGGGTTGTTGCAGGCGATGGGAATTTGACGTGGAGTCCCAGAAGCTCGGAGCCAGCGTTTGGCGTGGTGAGCGCCAGCGACGGCAAGGCCTCCTCTGCGCTGCTGCTCAACCTCACTCTGTGCAACTGTAGCGCGAACTCCATGTGCCTCTCCAACCAGACCACCCTAAGCATCAATGGCAGCGACGGATCCACTTTTAAGGTCTGCCAAACAATCTGCCCGCTTGTACCCTTCTTATAAGAAAGCGTATTTATGGCTCTGATTTATCGTTGCTGTATTGTAGCAGTTTCACCATGGCACTCTTCGTGCATGCTGCTGCAGGGAGTATGACCGACTTATTATTTCTTCTTGATTTGAAGCTTTCGTGACTGCAGGAATCAATACTCTTTGGTTCTTTCAGTAAAGTCACGTAGGTAGAAAATGAATAGATCACGACTTTTCGATCGCAACACAAGCAACCGTCATCAGGTGAAACAAACACAGCAGGAGAACTTCATGTCTTACCAATTGGCCTGCTCTTGTATATTATATCACGTGTCCTTTAATGTATGTATTTCAATAGACCACACACTTTGATAATGACTCAAATATTTAAAGCATTTAGAATTAAAAAGTTTGCATGTGAAATCATCCAGAGAAACTAAGCTGTGCTCATGTACCACAGAATGACAATAGCACAAACAAATGTTTTATGGTTAGCAGTTTTTCAGTATTACAAAGCAGCCAGGATACTTGTTACAATCCATACATTAATTGGATCAGATTTTTAATGTTTCACTCAAGATGTAAGCATTGATTTGTTGTGGTAAGAATGTATTATTTAGGTCCATGTGCTTATTGTGTTTAGTTTGTTGTCATTCCCCGCACCTCTAATAAGCATGGTTGCCTTCGTATGGTGCGAAAGAAGTTCAACATATATACTTACATATAATTTCTGTGATTAGGTTTATGTTAATCCACCAGCCACTGCAGATTCTACTTACATTACAATATTAACTAACAATGTTTTTGTTAATCAAATTGTGAGGAGGCAAAGAGTTAAATGCCCTGGTATTAAGGGTTATTGTAATAGCACCTTTTCTTTTCTATATTAAGAAAATTAACCAATGCATATTCACTCTTAAACAAAACAATATCCTTTGTTCTGCGTTTAAAGTTAGCGTGCATCGTGAAGTTACGTCCGGACGACGAGGAAACAATCTGCGACAAAGCATCAGCACTTTTTTGTAACAAAAGCCTTTATTTCCTTTTATTGTTTTAACAAAATAATGACCAAAACATATATTTGGCATACTTTTCTGTCATCAGTGTGGACACTGTTGCTGACAAGTTAATCTTAATATTTCAGGGAATGTAAACATTCTGGGGTTCCTATGACAACGGAGTGTGCGGCTTTTTGTATCGGACGCGTCGTATGTTTTACGGTCACATATGCTGCTGTTATTTATGACGTGCCAGTTGCTGTATTTCACTGTGGTCACGATGAGTCAACGTTAATAAATACCAGAAAATGTATAATTGCATATGAAACCGAATGTTATACAATGGTCACTGATATTACTTAATTGCTTTAAAAAAATATTAATAACAAGTGCAAGTTTTTAAAACATATTTCTAAATATATATCTGTAATGCTCTAACAATTGATATTTTAATGGTGTTATTTTTGTCAGAAGGAAAACACAAGCCGTGACTTGTATATTGCAGCACTATTTAGCATTTAATTGAGTTTCGGGAAACGTCTGCCAAAAGTTGGATAATTTATTTACGTTTTAATTTTGATCATTCCCTTTTTGTTAAATGTCTGCGATTGCCTGAAGGTTTCCGGCTGTCTGTGTGATCCTGGCTACGCGGGAGCGTACTGCACGGACGACTACAATGCCTGTGTAGACAGCCCTTGCCATCCTGGAGTGAACTGCACGGATGATCCTGCACCCTCCCTAGGCTTTTCGTGTGGGCCCTGTCCCGTTGGGCTCACAGGCAACGGGAGCAAGTGTTTCGGTGCGTACAGTTTGCTTAATTTGCTTTTCTCATTTCATGTTCTCACGTGTAAATTGTAATTTCATGAAATATTTATTATATGAGTATGCTCTGTAGCAGTGGCGGCTCCTGCAAAATCTCTCAGGGGGGGCAAATGTCTGGATGATTGATAAGGATAAGGTCCACCCATGCAATGGATAAATTAACAGCTTAAGCATGTAAAGGCAACTTCACTTCTTTAATATTAATGAAAAATAAAGTGACTCTTACAATACATCTTGTTTGTTTCTATACTCACTATTATTACAATCCACTCAGTTTATTTTATTAAAGATTCCACTAGGTGGCGACAAATAATATTTTTGACTGAAACGTGCTTACGTATGATGACGTAAGCACGTTAGTGCGAGCCCTCCCGGAAGCCATAGAGAATGCATTGCAGCGCCCGCCGTTCGAAAAAAAACATCTCTGAATGTAAGTCTATGGGAACACTCTGGGCGATTCTCAGCCAGAGTGAAATCGCCCAAAAAGAGGCGGTACTCCACAGAACGTGACATGACGCTGATTGGACTATATCCAGAGGCACAGTAACGGCTAGCGTAACTCTGTGGTTGAATGACATTGGTGGTGCGTCGCCCAATCGCCCTAATGAAGAAACCGCCCCTGCTCTGTAGACTATATGAGACCTCCTTTACCAGTGGCAAAATATAGTAATAGGTTTTTACCCTTTCAACTGGTACAAAAACTGACACCTTTATACAAGGGATCATGTTTGCAGTAACCACAACACAAGCAGTCAAAATGCAAACAAAAAGAAACAACTCTGATAATGATATGCACTGTCCTTGAAGTTGATTGGTCCACACCCGAGACAGCTTTTACTTAGAGCCTAGTTTCCATTGGTGTTGGACCAGATGACGCCAAAAGGCTAGGCTCTAAGAAAAGCTGTCTCGGGTGTGGACCAATCAACTTAAATGACAGTGCATATCATCAATATTGTTTCTTTTTGTTTGCATTTTGACTGCTTGTGTTGTGATTATTGCAAACATCATCCCTTGTATAAAGGTGTGAGTTTTTGTACCAGTTGAAAGGGTAAAAACCTATTACTATATGCTCTGTAGGTTAGTATTAATGCTGTCTATATTATGTATGGCTTATAAGTTATGATTGTTACTTGGTGGTGATGGTGTGGTGATGTTCATGATGGTGGTGATAACCCTGGTTGCTCTTGACGCTCTTGCTTGCAAATTGAGAATGCAACAGGGTTTTGGGGTTATTAAGAGAGAATGCAGAAAGGTAAAATATATATTTTTGGAAACGATTCAACTACATTGTATTTTCTTTGCTTGATCTCTGCCTTTTGTAGATGTGGACGAGTGCGTGTTACAGCTGTCTACGTGTAATCAAACGTGCACGAATATATTTAATGGCTACACGTGCAGCTGCAATGAGGGCTACCGTAATGTCACCATGAACAGCGACAGATGTGAAGGTATTTTGAGGCTTTGGTATATTTGTCAATTATGTAGCACAAGTAATGTAAAAAAGTATTCTCGTCGGAAAAAAACCCCACTTAAACATGGCTTCCTTGTATGTTTTGCACTTTTGTTATTTTTTTAAGTCTAAATATACTTCCCATAGTCTACAAGTTTTGCATGAAGCAAAGCATAGAAGCTGTGAAGCTACTCATGGTTTGTTGAAATAATAAAATGTGGTCAAACAGCATTCCCCTGCCCGGCTTTTTCATATTAAAACATGCATTTTACTTACATTTGAATGTATGTTGACATGTTAAGGCAGCACATTGTTTTCAAATGTTTGTATCCGAGATTTGACCTGGAACTAAAAATGTGAACCCCATTCAACTGTGAGCCATTCCTTACGTGTTTTTGTGTTGTTTTGAACAGACATTGATGAGTGTGCCCTGAATTCATCTCTTTGTGTCAACAATGCCCATTGTGTAAACACACCTGGACACTATGACTGCAGATGCATTGCTGGCTTCAGAGGAGATGGATTTATGGTTTGTCAAGGTAAAACAATCGCTGCATCCGTGCATGTTTAGGTCTGATTGTCTTTGTGATACCAGTAACTTAACCCAATACTTTTAGTGGGGGCATCTCTCATAATTTGAATGAGGTTTATTCATCTACCAAACGGTGCTTTCTTGAAAGTCTCGAAAGTTTTGTCTCCTGCTAGTCACTGAATAGAAGCTGTTCAAAGTATTTTATTTGCAGTTCGCGGGCCAGATTCACTTCTCAGAAGAAAAAAAACAGCCAAGACATATTTGTGATTGTCTGCACTCTTGGCAATGCTGAAAGTTTTTTTTTTACTAAAACCTTTGAAACGTAAAATTCAACAACATGTGAATTGGAAGCAAAGTCCATTAACGCTGCCTGATACACTTTTTTTTGCATTAAAGTACTGCAGTATGCTTGTTTAAACATTCAATGTCACAAACTTTTCACCTATAAATCCACCGTGTGTGCAAATATCATGTCCTGAATTGGTCATGTGTTTAGTGTGTTGAAATTCATTATATCAGAGTGAAGGCAGTTCGCAGTCTGAATATCAGCTGCAACTGCTGTAAAATAAAAACGGTTTATATTGTATATGCTTGTTCACATTATCTGTGTTTTGGTGATGGGTAATAGTTAATGTTTAATATTCTAAAATACACCCCTTGAGAAGTATACGCATACAGTGTTGGATGTTTGTTTTGAGCAAATGTAGTAACTTTTTCAGACTTTAGTATTTGCCCATCTCTGTTAAATGAAAAGCAAATGTGGGGAAAAGTTTAGATTCGGTGGTGATCGTTAATGGATGTGTAAAAGTGTGTAAAAGCAGCTCCGCGTGTGATGCGGTTCTCGAAAGTATTTCGGTCAAAGACGAAGAAAACAATGGCCCTTCTTCTTTGAAAGGTTGCCCACCCCCTGGGATAGAGCGTTGCCGCCTCGCACACTTGGGTTTTCTCCGGGTGCTCCGGTTTCCTCCCACGCGTACTGGCTGCAACCATCTTCATAAATAGACATGCATCCGTGTGTGTTGCAGATTGGGAAACGTTGGGAAATGCAGTTTGCATAAGTGACGCATTGAGCACGCTTATTATTCGATGTAGCTGCCATGGGAAATGTTGAAGTGTTCCTGAATTATTAACATTCCTTGTTTTTTTGTCAGTCACGTTCAAGCTCTAAAGTGGAAACTATAGTGACGTGCGATGGTTGAACCAGTTCTAGCTACCCCTTTAATAACCCACTCTGACCAGCATGGTGTAGTACTGCGTGGTCAAAACCCCCTACAGCACTGGATGGACAGGGCTATACACTTTTTTAGCTACCCCCATTGCTCTTGAAACTATTGATGTGGAGTTTATGGATAAGTATTTGCTGTCATGACATATACAGCATTTGAAAGGGAAGCGTACCTTAATTTTCACAGACATTACTGAACATGTGAAGTATTTCAAAGGGAATTGTGTCTTGACTTTCACAGCATTACTGACCTGTAATAGAGGTGAATCTCACACTTACTCATAACTACCTTCCTCGGATGTTCGTTTCTCTTAAGTCTACTTGCCTGCCTTATTTGACCACGCATAACCATACTGGCCAGCGCAGGTTAGTTAAGTCCAGGAGTATATACCTGGGAGCATAGTACACTACAGTAATACATTTGCTTCACTGATGTCTGCTGCCTGCAATGTAAGCCCACAGCTTGTAACGTTTGGTATACATTGTGGTCACCCAATCAAACACTATCCAGGCCTTGTCCTGTTTAACGTCCGAGATTTCACAAAAGCAGGAGCTATGTGGGCGAATTAAATTGTTATATTATCACGGTTCCTGGGCACAAATCCTAAATAGGCCCAAGCCATAAATAAACAAGAAAGGTTCTAAGAACTTGGGAAAGCGATGGGGGGAGTGACTTCCAAAGTTGAGCAGTGCGAGGAAAGACGCAGAAGGAGAAAGTTTTTGACCTGCAGCATAGTGATTGAACACACGAGTCAGATTAAATGGTCAATCTGGTATACTGAGTCCTCAATGGGTGGAAGAATGAGTGAAGTTCATGGGAATAGTAACCAGTCATCTTCTATATATAAGGGAAATTTGTGAATGTGTGTCTATACTCTTAGTTCTTTCGGTAAAGTCACGTAGGTAAAAAATGAAATTAAAATTAATAAAAAATAAAACAATAAAAATCACGACGTTTTGGAGGCTTGTGTTGCCTCCGAAACATCGTGATTTTTATTGTTTTATTTTTATTAATTTTAATTTCATTTTTTACATACGTGACTTTACCGAAAAAACTAAGAGTATGAATCCTTGTATTCACGAAAGCTTCAAATCTAGAATTAATATGTGTGTCTGTTAAAAATGTTTAGCATACTTCCTGACATGCAACAAACTTGAAATTTGCCATGTGGGTACTTTCCAGACTGTACAGCATGCAAATATAAAAATAAATAGACTTTTGTATTTTGGGGGCGGGAGGGGTGCAATAATGCATATATTTTGCACGGCAAGTGAGCTGTGACGGAAGCATAACGGAGTGTGCCTGCTGATGTCACGCAACCTCCCCCCCCAACCCTCCGCGGGTAAAGTGAAATACAAATGTGTTGCAGGTCAAAGGCGTTCTTCGCGCAGCATTGGTTTATTATTTGAGTCGTTTACTGCCGTACGCACCCTGAAAGTTATGTGTCTGCAGCAAGCGCATGTATGTGTACCTATGGACACACGCGTGTGTGGGGGGAGCGGTAGTGTAGTGGTTAGCGCGCTGCGCTATGAACCCGGTGACCCGAGTTCGATTCCTGGTCATGGTCACCACCAGTGACAATTATTTGAACCGGTCCTGGGCCTCCCCTAGGTCGACTCAGCCTCAAATGAGTAACTCGTGTTGTGTGCGAACATCGCCGCTTGGGAGACAAAGGCAACCAGGCGTGGTGAATCCAAGTCTTGGGCGAAGCCGGGTAGTAAAGCTAGTAGGGAATAAAAGAGTGATCAGGTGGTGAGTGACTGCAAGTGAGTGAGTGCCTTGAGTAAAATAATTGTTTCGCCATGGTTGCCGTAAATAGTATTACATTTATTAATCTGTACTTGGTATTCAAGTGTTGATTTAAAACTCAATGACGGTTTTGCTTTTCACCTGCAGATGAAGATGAATGTTCAATCGGAAATAATCCCTGCGCATCCGTAAACAATTCTTTTTGCGAAAATAGCATCGGGTCCTATTCCTGCGTCTGCACTTCCGGCTATAATGGCACAAATTGTGAAGGTAATACATGATCAAACACAATATTTTAGATTAATTTGTTTCATTTCGTAGGAATTGTATTATTATATGCTGGGCTACTTGTACGCCTAGAGTGTAACGAATCACCCCCTCACTAATAATGAGTTTAATGAATTATCACGGTTTCGAGGTCGCTATTCCATCCAATAATTGGTGTGTTATTTTCTACTTCGGTGTAAATATCATCTCCATTGGTTGCAGGGTTCATGTGAACCAAACTACCTATAACATCGTACTAAATTTTTGTTATTATAGATGTTTCACATGTATTATTGCACAGTGATCATATTGATGAGTTTTGACAGTTTAATCGATGCATCATTGCATACCAGTGTATTATTCATATACAACACATCTTACCCAGCAAACAAGCAGGACATTTTATGTGTAAATAATGTCCGCGCTGACACGCAACATGCCACACTATATACAGCCCTGAAATTATTACACTTCCTCGCTGGATACGTGTACTCCCTACCACATACATTTTACCGACACCACATTCTATAAATAAAAAAAGTTCTTCTGCCTCGGAGGATTAGGGTGATTAGGATTATGTTGGTAGAAATTAGTTCTTCGAACCTTGAATACAGTTATGGATGCTAAAGTTAAAAAAGTGTTACAAGTATTTAGTCGTTTTAAAATGTGGCCTCTCTTTCAGGGAGGTACTGATCGATAAAATTACATGTAAATGCAATCTCACTATTTATATTCCCATATTTATCTTCCAAGCTGATGTGTATACGTCAATTAATGATGCCTGGACAAAAGATGTATGTATACTTGTTTAATATGTGCAGGATGTTTATAGAGATATCATGTACTGTATTATTATTTGATTATAATTATCAGCTTTAACCGTATGGTTGAAATATTGGCAACATATATATTTGTATTCGCGAATGTTTCAAAGATTCACAGTGGAGATGTTGAACATCTGGGGACATGTGAAAGTTTATAGGGATGAAACTCGTGCAATATAATCGTCAAGTTACCAAGTGTGTAGACATGTTTTTGCTGACCCAGCCCAAAAGATTTGTCAAATTATAATTATTGAATAACGGACATTATGGACAATGTACGTTACTGAATACAAGTATGAAACAAAATAAAAATGGGTTTTATCCTTTCTGGCAATAAAATAAGTGTTAAGATGTTCAAACACCAAAAAGGAACCTATTCCGAGGAATCATATTTTGATATTGACAAAAAAACGTCCCATGTAATATGCATAAACCAGCAAGTGTAATGTATCATGCCTGGAATCTAAAATTAAGAGTTAAAAGCACGATTATAAATGATAATTATTACAGGTTTTTTATATTTATTGTTTGGAAAAAGTGAATGAATGCCTGAAAACTTACACAGTTTCTTTTTTGTTGCAGATATAAATGAATGCATAAGTGGGCAGAACACTTGTTCCGTCGACGCCAATTGCACCAATACGATCGGCTCCTATACGTGTGCATGCAAACTGGGCTATGAAGGAAATGGCAGGGACTGTATGGATATCAACGAATGTATGAGGGGAACAAACAGTTGTAATAGCAGTATATCGGAATGTATGAACAATAATGGGTCATATTACTGCACCTGTGCTCGTGGATTCACTGGGAATGGAACCTACTGCACAGGTAAGAGGACACATGCTCAAATGTTAATGGGGGAAAAATAGGCAGCTTATGTAGATAATGTGACGGGCGATGTAATTAAACTTATTTAAGTATTTTCAGTGCATATATAATATTTTTACAATTATTGTTCTATTGTGCTATTGGCATCATGTCGTAAGCTAAAGAAGACATTCATAAGAGATCATAAATCTCACACAACAGTGACCCCCTCCCCCCCTCCTTGTTAGCGGGTGGCCTGCCAAGTCACATAACTAAATATGGAGATCCCATCAAGGGCCTTTCTTTATCCACACACACATACGATCCCACATGCCCTGCTACAGAGAAATGGCCAGCCAAATATTTTTACACTCTCAGAATTGGAATTTGCTGACTTGAGACTATCAATTCACTTTTCTTAAGAATTCAGTGCAATCATGGTTGGCTGAACCAACATTCACACTGAGGGTCTCAGCAGCGCAGGTTAAGTGCTCGGACCCCATCTCGCCAACCGACCATCTCGATTTTTACTTAGTTTTAACTTATTATAATTTAGTTTAGCTATTGGAAGTGTAAACTATACTGGGCAACTATACTGTATATATTTGTAATGGAGACTGTCAAAGGGCAGAGTGGCTCTTAGGTCAAATGAGGAATTCACATTTCCATGGTGAGGAAAGACCACCCCGTAGAAATCCTGTTGACCTACCACAACAATGCTTATTTGATCTACCTCGCACTGGAGTTTGAGAAACACTTTTTTCATATTGCCTCACTCTCCACCACTAATGCTGCACCCCTGACAGCATCATCTATTGTCGCTCACAATGGTTTGAACCTAAATCAAGGGCATACGTTAAATATGACTTGCCATCCGGGTTCCTCACAGACAGAATGAGCCCTCACTCGAGATCATATTATGACAACTGTTCAAGTAAGTGTTGTTACTGAAGAACTGATGGACATATTTTTGTTCCTATATAAAAGGATCCGTAGGTGAATTTAAATACCTGTGATTGGTGGGAGCATGAATTAAACAATAGAGGCAGAGTAGCAAACTGCAGAACATTGTTTAATGTATTACATTCGAACTAATATGGCTGTTCTTTTGTGTACAGATATAAATGAATGCACGGCCAATCCATACTTGTGCCAGGACACAGAAGAATGTATGAATATTTTTGGAAGCTACAAATGCGAGTGCTTACCAGGCTACAAAAGGAATGGAACAGTTTGTACAGGTACACAATATTGTGATGAGGATTTTTTTTTGGTGGATCTGCCAAGAATCTGGATCCAACAAAACTACAAATGTCTGTCATATATGCGCTAAAAGATATATAAAAAAAAACTAAATAAAGGGGCAGACATAATGCCTGCTTCCCGTATTTTTTTTGCCACATCCCATCAGCCAAAATGTCTTCAGAGAGTGCATCTCATCAACAGCATTGGTTAATTAGAATAAATCTATGGACCGGTTTTGACATTCATCATCTCATCAGCAGTCAGGCTTGTTTATGCAGTGTGTAGAAGGAGATTATCTGCCACATTGATATTCTCATAGCATCCTTTAAATTACCATTGCTATAATTCTCATATGGATTTTACCATTTTGTCATTTACTTGTCTGGGAAAGCCTCACTCATTCTCAAGATTGTTTTTGGTTTAAAACTAAGCCACTGTGTTGGAATAGTTAGTTCTCATCTTATATCTCGGCCTCGCTGTGCGCTGCGTTGCACCGCTAGCTGAGTAGATAACCTTGTGTCCAATAAACCCTCAGAGCCAAGGTGAACATCCGACTCCAAACGTCATTTATTGGTTTTAACGAGGTAAAACTGGTGAAAAAACACAGATACAGCATCTGTTATAACCCGGAAACACATACACAATGAACACCACAGCATCAGAACATTTTCTTAGATAACAATAGATCCTGGACGGACCAGGCCCCTACATTACCACTGAACAACTACACAAGAGTACAAGCCGATGCGTTGCATAAAGGCACATCGTGTATTCATCCCACTGCACCCCAAATCTACAGCATTACACATAACACTAAACTGTGGATGAGATACTTCGTCATCTTTGCTCTCAGGATTGCAACATAGCCACCTGGGCACAAGTCTGACCCGACCTACTAAATCACAAGTAACATCCACAATAAGGAAAGTTGCAGGCTTCGTTGCTAACTAGGCCTCGTATTTACCACAACAACTTAACGGCACCATAAAGGCATTTACATCACTATAACGGTCATTCCAACATTACAACAGCATTGCAAATATTATAAGAACATAAACAAACTTACAGACAATGCTTCTCAAAGTCCCACGATGGACAACTGCGTCTGGCTTCACTGGGACGCGATGTGTGCCACCATCTTGAATTATCTGTGTAATGGCCGACGCCCGTGTGGTTAAGCGGGAATCTTAATTCGCAACTTCCTGGTCACGTGACCAAAATTAGCATAAAAAACAGGAAATTCCCATGTACATACGCCCCCCCCCCCCCCCCCCCCCCCATCTGCCGTGAGGCAAAACTCCTGCCATGATGCAGAACATTCCCCGTCTGGTATCTAAGAGATACCACCATTTATTTCCTATCTAAACAAATGTATAACAACTTCAACGGGTCAACTTATTTGTCTATATCTTTGCGAGAGAGAAGTAGTACTGTCTCCACTATGGGCCTGACGAAAGTTCTTGCGACACCTTGCTTTGCAATCATAACCTCGACTTTTCTAACTTTTCCATCGGCACTTGGAATCGACTTGAGGATGCGGCCCATTGGCCACTCATTCCGTTTGGCTTGGTTGTCCTTCAGTAGGACGAGATCACCTTCTTGGATGTCTGGTCTATTAGACTGCCACTTGTTGCGCACTTAGAGTGTTGTAAAGTACTCGTTTTTCTAGCGACGCCAGAACGTGTTCGCGAAGTTCTGCACTTGCCTCCATTGATGTCTGTAGAGGTCTGCAGTGCTGGCCTCCTCGGTAGGTGCTGTGAGCACGTCTGTCTTCTGGGTAAGAAGTGTAGCAGGAGTCAAGATGAATGGTGACTCCGGGTCGGTTGAGATGGGGATCAGGGGTCTTGAATTAATTATGGCTGAGACCTCGGCCATGAGAGTGGTTAAGACCTCGTGAGAGAGCCGTGTAGACCCGACATCCCATAGCATAGAGTCGAGAATGCGTCGAGCAATCCCGATCATGCGTTCGCAGGCTCCACCCATATGCGAAGAGTGGGGAGGATTGAAGATCCATGTGCAGCCTTGGTCACTAAGGTATTTCCTGACAGAATCATCTTCGCATTCTCCGTATTGATCTTAAGCTCTTTGCATGCTCCAGTGAAATTGGTTCCACAATCAGAACGGAGTTGCTTGGCTGGCCCTCTGATGGCGAAGACTCTCCGGAGTGCATTTATAAAGCTCAAAGAGTCCATGGACTCGATGACTTCGATGTGCACTGCTCGTGTACTCATACAGGTGAACAGCACAGCCCAATGTTTGCTGTTCGCGAGCCCTCCTCTGGTGCGGCGGGAGATGACTGTCCATGGTCCAAACACGTCGATCCCTAGAGGTGAAGCGAGGTTCCACACTGAGTCGATCGGCTGGGAGGTCTGCCATTTTCTGTTCTTCCTGTTTTCCACGTAGCTTGTGACAGCTGCTACACTTGTGGATTGTGCTGGCGATGCACCTCTTTGCTCTAACGATCCACAGCCCTGCAGATCGGATTGCTCCTTCTGTGAAGTGCCGACCTTGGTGCTTGACCTTCTCGTGGTAGTGGCACACAAGTAAGATTGCGATGTGGCTCTGGCTTGGGATTATGAGGGGGTTTCGTTCATTCTCATCTAATTTTGCATTCCCTAGCCGATCACCGATCCTGAGCAAGTCGTCTTTGTCCATCCTGGGGTTTAGCTTCCTGAGGGTGCTGACCCTAGGAAGGTCTTCTCCCTTGTTGATGGCCTTGATCTCGCTTGCATAAGCTGCCTGTTGCACACAGCGGAAGATTGATTTCCTTGTTCTGGAAAGCTCGTCTTCAGTGCGTGGCACTGGGCAGTGATGGCATCCATTGCAGCTACCAGCGGTGCCTCTCATTGGGCGATGGAAGCAGTCTGCGATATGCATTAAATGTGCTATCGCTCGCACGAGCGTCGTCCATTTCAAGAAATGTTCTAAATGGTGTGGACTCAGTGGACTTCTTGGTCGCACATTTGTTACGAAAGTTGTCACTTGAGGACGAATCTCCTTGTCTGACTCGGGCTCTATGAGTCCAAAAATCTCTTTGGTAGTACATGGGCCACCGTCATGTCGTAAAAGGAACGCTGGACCCGTCAACCAGATCGTTTGCTTCAGCAGAGATGCAGGGACGGACCTAGTTGCGAGATCTGCTGGATTCTGGTCAGTTGGAATATAATTCCATTGCTCTGGCTGCGTCGATCTCCTGATGCGCTCCACCCGGTTGCTGATGTAGGTGTAGAACCTTCTGGTTTGGTTGTTTATGTAGCCTAGTACGACCTTACTGTCCGTGTAGAACTTGACCGCATCCAGTTTGACGTCCAATTCGTCTAAGATCAGTTCCACCACCTCTGTATCAAGAACGGCTCCACACAGCTCGAGCCTTGAGATGGTATGTTCTGGTTGTGGGTCCTTGCCATGGAACTCCTTCCAGGATTCCCACTCGGACGACAGCTCCGAGTCGAGGAACGGAGAGGCCGCGGTCACAGCGACCACCGCCACGACCACCAGCAGAGCGACGAGCAGCGGCTTCATCTTAGTCTTCTTCCCGTCAGTAAGGACTGGCTTGGAGAAACGTGGAGGAACAAACTCCAGCGAAGACAGTGGATGTACAAGCGAAGTCGTGGTGGTTTCTTTGTAAGTCTGCACGGTACAGCCTTGACTTCTCTTGTCGAATTTATCTTTCAGCGTGAAGTGGTTGGGGCACGGTTTGAAGAGCGGCGTGCGTTCATTCATGAGCACACTCGTTCTGAATGTGCTAATGTGGTCTGGTTTGTGTGTTCCATCAAGACAAACGTCACCTATGATGACCCATCCTAGGTCGAGTCTCTGGGCGTAGGGAGCGTCGTGAGGTCCATTGCGTTGGTCGCGAACCTTGTGGACTCTCAGCATGTCCCTGCCGAGCAGAAGTAAAATCTGTGCCGCTTGATCCAATGGCGGGATGAACTTTGCTATGGGTTTCAGGTGTGGGTGGTGACGTGCAACTTCGGGCGTGGGACTCTCACTCCTGTCGTCCGGTATCTCGTTGCACTCTGTCACCGTAGGAAGGGCTAGCTTCATGGTGCTATCTATGGTTTCCACCATGAGGCCGCTCGCTCTTCTTCCCGCTGTCTCCATCAGTCCTGAGCATGTTCTGAACGTGTATGGAAAGGAAGTCCCACCTACGCTTAGCTGATCAAAGAACCCTGACCTTGCCAAAGACTTGTTGCTCTGGTCGTCCATTATGGCGTACATCCTTACTGCCCTTTCAGGATGTCCTTTGGGATACACTCGGACGAGGCATATCTTTGAGCAAGATCTTCCTTTGAAGCCTTCTCCACAGACTTCTGTGCATTTGGTTGTGATTGACGAAGTGAGTGCGGCGGTCTCGCATTGCTCCCCGCCGTGCTCTGCTTCGGGATCGGAAGCCTTAGTGCCACTGGGTTTGGAGTAAAATGTGTGCAAAGCAGTTGCGTGTTTGTCGCTGCCACATTCCTCGCACTTGATATTTGCCTTGCTATTCCTTGCAAGGTGATTTGTAGAAGCACAGCATTTGAAGCACACTCAAAATTATTTCAGCATGTTCTTCCTCTCTTCCAATGGTTTCCTCCTGAACTCACGGCATTTCTGGAGAGAGTGAGGTTTATCATGCAATGGGCATTGCTTCTCTGTATCCTCCATCTTTTTCTTTGTGGTGGTTGTCTGAACGGAGTTTGCGAATGTCATAGGAGAGACCTCAGTCTTGTGTACGGAAATTGGCACTCTCGCTGTTCCTCGTTTCGCCATCGTTCTTTACATTTTTGGGAGATCTGGACTGGAAATCCCCGTGGTGCCAAACATGAAACTCGGGTCATTTCTAGTCTTAGCCAGGTTGCGGATAAACTTTGAGAAAAAAGAGAATAGGGGGAATGCAACCTGATACTCTGACTTGTATCTTGAACCCGCTGTTCTCCATTTTTCTTGCACGTCAAATGGCAATTTCTCTACAATGGGGTTCACGCCATGGTAGGTATTCAAGAAAATGAGACCTGGTAAGTAGGGGTCAGCCTGGGCTGATTTAAGCTCCATCAAAATATCTCCAAGCTCTCGTAACCTTTTATTGTCCCTACCAGAGATTTTTGGAAAGTTCTGCAACTTCTTGAAGAGAGCCTTATCATATTGTTTCTGGGCTACCATAGCACTCCTCGAGCCTCTCCCACACCGCATGCAGGCTTGAGGCGGGGTCGTCAATGTTTGCTGGCCGGATTCTCTTTGCGTACTCTGCAGATTCGTTTCCTAACCATTTCACCAACAGGTCCAGTTCTTAACTTGCAGAGATGTCTGCATTTCGGATTGCATTCCTGAAGGTAGATCTCCAGGCTCGATAGTTCTCAGAGTGGTCATCAAACTTCACGAGTCCTGTATTGATTAGTTCGCGGTGAGCCAGGTACCTAGCAAAGTCCCCTAGTCCAGCTGATCCAGGGTGTGTCAATACCGGCGCTTGTGAGGTGGCATTATTGGCTGTATTGCCTTGCATGCTATCATTTGCGATGGCGTTGGACTGTGGGCCCAAAGGGTTTCGATCACGTTGGTTTGATCCCTTTATGTGACTGTCTGGAATGTGGGTCTGACTTGATGCATCCACGTCTGACCCCTCGTGTGCGACGCTGAGTTGGCGACTAACTCTCAGGGCAGGATATGCATTTCCACCATTCCCGTAGACAGCATTCATGTTCATTCGGTGTGGAGATGGCGATGCCTAAACGTCCACCCTTTGTTTATTATTGTTTGGTGGAGGAGCATTGATGCATTGTTCAGACCAGTCCAAAATATTTTTTTCTGGTGAGTTGATCACGGTCCTTGACAGGTATCTGAGTGCCAAACTCACTCCAATTCTCTTCCTTATCCATGTTAGCTGCTGCTTCGAGTACCTCTGCCTGGGCCCTTGCAGCAGCTGCTTCCTTTTTGAGTTGTAGGGTGCTTAACTTAGCATCCAGCTCAATCTTTTTCCGTGTGGCAGTAGCCGCTAATGTACTTGCTTCTTCTTGTATGCACGCCTTTTCAATGAGCATGGCTTCCTCTTCAGCCATGTAGGCAATACGTGCATTTGCTGCTTCTGCTGCTGTGCGTGCCTGAGCTGCTGCCATACTAGTAGATGATGTCTTTGAGTGTGCTGAGCCTTTAGATCTTGTGGTGGACCTGGATGAGACAGAGTGCTGGGATCGTGTCTCTCTTAAGCCCTCCACACGGTCCATTGCATCTTGTATCACTGCCTGCACATTATCATCGAGCAGTTTGAGGAAGTGCTCTTGCGTGCGCACTCCCTCAATGCCCTCATCTGTTTTCATCTTCATCAGGAGGGAAATGTATTTATTTGCCAGGAGTTTGTAGCTTGAGCTGCTCACCTTCACTCGCTGGATGGCCCGCTGAATTGAGGCCACTGTGTCTGAGGCGTTTGAAGTTTCAGATATATCTGCTTCAGCCCGGTCCCATGCCCTTTGCATCCTGGCATCAAGGTCCTGCTTCTCAGCATCATAGCTTTCCAAGGCCCGTTGTGTCAACCTGACCTCCCTCTGGGGCCTTGAACTCCCTTGGTCCTCTTGAGGCAGGATAGGAGGTCCTGGATTGCTTGAATCACCTTCTTCAGCATCTCTCCCTGCTGAACTGTGGCTTTCCATGCTGCGATGCTTGCAACACAATGTTTAATGTAGACTTGCTGCAGAGCTGGCTGCAGAGCTGGCTGCAGGGCTGCCTGCAGGGCTGGCTGCAGGGCTGGCTGCAGGGCTGGCCACAGGGCTGGCCGCAGAGCTGGTCGTAGGGCTGGCCGCAGGGCTGGCCGCAGGACTGGCCGTAGAGCTGGCCGCAGGGCTGGCCGCAAGGCTGGCCGCAGGGCTGGCTGCAGGGCTGGCTGCAGGGCTGGTTGGGAGCTTCAAGAAGAGTGTATTTTTACTATCTCGGCCTCGCTGTGCGCTGCGTTGCACCGCTGAGTAGATAAACTTGTGTCCAATAAAACCTCAGAGCCAGGGTGAACATCCGACTCCAAACGTCATTTATTGGTTTTAATGAGGTAAAACTGGTGAGAAAACACAGATACAGCATCTGTTATAACCCGGAAACAGCAACACAATGAACACCACAGCATCAGAACATTGTCTTAGATAACAATAGATCCTGGACGGACCAGGCTCCTACATTACCACTGAACAACTACACAAGAGCACAAGCCGATGCGTTGCACACCAGAAGGCGTACAACTCCAATGGGGACTAGGATCTAAAGAAAGCTGTCTCGGGTGTGGACCAATCAACTTCAAGGACAGTGCATATTATTATCATTATCAGAGTTGCTTCTTGTTGTTTGCTTTTTCGACTACTTGTGTTGTGGTTATTGCAAACATGATGCCTTGAATAAAGGCTAAAAACCTACTACTATATTTTGCCACTGGTAAAAGAGATCCCATAGTGTAAATGCTTACCCCGAGCTCTCAATACTCTGATATTGCACTGTGTTTGAGTTGTACGCCTTCTGGTGTCATCTGATCCAACACCAATGGGGACTAGGCTCTAAAGAAAGCCGTCTCGGGTGTGGGCCAATCAACTTCAAGGGCAGTGCATATTATTCTTATCATTATCAGAGTTGCTTCTTGTTGTTTGCTTTTTTGACTACTTGTGTTGTGGTTATTGCAAACATGATGCCTACTACTATATTTTGCCACTGGTAAAAGAGATCTCATAGTGATCCTATACCCGTGTCGTGCACACTCGTACGGAAGCCTGCTGTGCACTAACATTGATATGTTGGAACCCATCGTTTTGTATATGGTTGCTCGATTGTGATGTGCATTGTTTATATTTCGACCAGATATTGATGAGTGCAAGGAAAACCAACCGTGTGACGCGAACACGATGGTGTGCAGCAACACGATGGGATCATACACATGTCCGTGCAAGACGGGATACCAGTATAATAGCACACTTGGAATCTGTACTGGTAAGTCTTTTACCAGCGGGTTTGTTATCAACGCAATATTTCTTTGCAGTATAAACCTAATCATATACTGTGTAGTGTTCTTACCACTACAAAGAGCTGCAAGAACGTATGTTCTTCTGAAGGAAGAGATAACGTTACTGGGCGCACATCTCGTTAAGAACTATGACATTGTTCAATTTAAAATGACTGACAAGATAGAGTATTTCTCGAGTCATCGCCTGAGCTTTTGTAGTCTTTCTCAAATGCGTGTGCGCATTTGCAATCACACCCTAATTACAAACGCCACGTACATTTTTTGTTGTTTCTTAGACACGGACGAGTGCGTCGTTTCATCGTTAAACAACTGCTCGAGGACGACAGGGCTCTGCCTAAATTTCGATGGAAGTTTCAAGTGCCAGTGCATCGCTGGCTACACAGGAGATGGAGTCACGTGCACAGGTAAGCTTTGCTTCCACGTGGTGGGTGTCCCCCAGTGTCGAGGTGCCATCATTCTCTGGCTAGAAAAACGCTTCGTCTTTTCCCGGTTTTATTTCACTTAGTGCGATCGAAATCACTTCATGAGACTATTTATTCCAAACTCTTGCAGACCAGTGCATCGGAAGCTGACATCACGGAGCCACTTTTGAGATACGCGCACATTACCTCGTTTGTCCAAGCTAGGGAGTGCTTGCTACATATCCCCAAATGCCCCGCATGGCAGTAAAACCATTATTAAAAAATATATATTGTAAGAGCTGATTTTTCTTTCAACCATTATTTTTTTTACTAATTCAACATGCATTTGTTTGTGACCCAGCTGAAAGCATTAACTCACGATAGACATTCGAAGCACTTGCAAACATAAACTCGTATGCTCGTGGTGCTTATTGTTCTTGTTGTCTTGCTTAGTCTGACTTTAATTGGAATAGGAAAAAGTGGGCACGAATAACATGTAAACAAACGGTAAAAGTGCCGGCCCTACTATTACGCCACTGCTGGTAGAGGTCTCCACTAGATGGAGCTCTAGAGCGGCCTACTCTTCCACATTAGGCCGACGTGTTGGAAGTGGTGGGAATACGTATAAAATGTGTCTTGAAAAGTTCATAAAGCATACAATAAATACACTCAGATTATACATTTATTTTAAGAGGCCCAAGTTATAAAACTTGTAGAATATAGTAGTTCCTTTTTATGAGCCTCATAATATCTTGACTATTAATAATGATTATACTAAAAATGCATGGATGCAGTGCCATGAAATTATTTTGTTTATTGATTTTTGCCAAGCATACGACTGCCTTGTTCTCCCTTGTGCTGTACTGTACACGCAGGTTTAGCAATGGAAAGGAAGCGATGCTTCTGGATGTTTCAAATGTTTAAATTTGAGGATAGTAAAGTCAAGTATAGCTTCTTATGTTATCACTGTAATGCAAGGCTATCGCAAAGGCGCTATGTTCCACAGATGGTATAATCTGGCAGAAGGGGCAGTGTTGCTTTGTGATTTTACCCCAATTAAGTGGTACAAAAAGAAAGTTTTTGGTTAGAATGTTCCTAATCACTGTGCAGTCGTGAAGCTCCCGCAAGACCACTTGTAATTAAACTTTTGCATATTAACATACGTTCTCTTGCGATGCACCACAGATATCGATGAGTGTAATCCACCGGAAAATACAACGCAGCCCTGCAAAGGCCCTGTCGGAGTGAGATGTAACAACACCATTGGCCACTACACATGCAGCTGTCCCCTTGGATACTACTTGGACAGTGATGGAACCACATGCAAAGGTTTGACAATGATCATTTCTGATTTTATGCGCAGAAGCATAGCTGTTTACTTACTAGAATTGTTTGTATGAGGGGAAATCAATTTGAGTGTGTCTCAATGTTAATTCTGCACTGAGGCGACTAATGTCTTGGCATGGCATTTGTTATGAAAAAGCTACCTTAAGGATTTGTATGGCCGCAATGATGCTCATTGTGTTTGTGCAGATGTTGATGAATGCATCAGAGGACTCCACAACTGCACCCAGAACTGCACGAACATCGAAGGAGGCTTTACCTGCAGCTGCTTTGCCCGTTTCAGCTCTGTGAATGGGACTTGTAAACGTAAGTTACATCTGTCTACATCCTTTGTACATGTGGCTTATGTATATACTCTATGGCCTAATTCTATATCTCTGAAGCTAAGCAGGTTTGAGCCTAGATAGTGCTTATATGGGTGACCAACCAAGTATGCTTAATAGGGTCAGAGGCTGTGTAGTTACGTTGGGTGCAACAGAAGCAATGCAGCCATTTAAATGTATATACCGTACTTTTATGCTTCCCACTGTCACAACCTGTAATGATTCAGTGTTTAGAGCCCGTGCTACAATCTCGGTTGCCCAGTTTTAATCCCTTGTAATGTGCACCAGTTTGGCAAGTCATATCTGTACATGACCTGGGCCTTCCCAAGGTTGACTCGGCCTAAAATGAATATCTGGCACGCTGTGTGAGCATCAGTACTAGGGATCAACGATTCTAGACGTCTTCCAATTTACATGGCTTAATGGGGATCATTGCCTTTGTGCATATCTACAGGCTACAAGCTGTAGGTAATTGACACTTGAAGCTTCGTGCTTCCTACGGTGATGGGAGTGTTTGTTATAGCATAAGTATGTGTGTGTGTGGTACATAACTATAGCAATGCAATTCCTGTCTTGCATAACTAAACACATTTAGAGTGATATCAATAACTGCATAAAGAATTAACTGAAGGGATCACTGGTTTGAAATGTACAAACATCTATGGTACCATAATATGCAATTTTGCACGTGAAATAAATTGTATTTATTTATTTTTCAGAAAACCAAACTTGTGTGACGGATGTTTGCAATGGAACTGGAGACTGTTACATTGATGATACAACTCTCCCAGGATGTTCCTGCAATTCTGGGTATGAAAAAATTAACCCGTAAAAACAAAGTTTTTCACTATAAATCCTTTATATGCGTGGCGGCTAGAGTCCTCTCGTCCTCTGGCTTGAGATGGCTGCCACCTATGGGTCAGATGATAGCCTGCCACCATTAAGCAATTGGTAATTAAATATAAAAAAAATTCCTAAAAAGTGTAAAGTTATGGAAAAAAAATTTCATGAAAATAAATTGTCACGCACAACGAGTCTGTGTGCAAAATGTCAGCTCGATTGGATCACGGGAAGTGGGTTAAAAAAACTACCGAAAGATTTGCACGGTCGTAAGCACGCAAGCAAGTAAGCAAGTGAACTTAATATAAAGGATTAAAAAATTGATGGATCTAGGGTTGTTTCCAAACCAATTGATATTTGCAGCATACTCAACATACTATGTATAAGTACATAGCAATGTTTCATATCCACAAGGATATATTACACACCAGCACTAGACATTTGCTTGAAAAGGTGGCCATGTGGCTGTGGAGTCAGAGCATTGAGCCAGCACTGCTGAGATTCTGGGATTGGTTTTAGGTTGCCAAGAACTATGGTGAAATTGGGTTCTCAACCATAAACTAAAGTGATGTAATTCTTTCAGTGGGTCACAAACGAATGCATGTTAAATTAGTTTATTTTTTAATGGATGAAAGAAAAATCAGCTCTTAACATAAATAAGGATATTGGTTTGACTGCCATGCGGGACATGTGTGGATAATGAGCAAGCACTCCCTAGCTTGGACAAAAGAGGTCATGTGCATGTATCTCAAAAGTGGTTCTGTGATGTCAGCTTCTGATGCACTGATTTACAAGAGTTTGGAATAGTCTCATTATGTTATTTCGATCGCACTATAGGTGAAATAAAACTGAGAAAAAACGAAACCTTTTCTATCAAGAACATTTCTGGAATTGTAACATTACATTGTAGACTTGTAACTTACAATTGGATTATTAGTGTGATCGGCTATGTAATCACAAGACAAGAAACAATACTCTATAGTCCTTTATAATGTTGGCGGTTCATCTTGTCTATGCAAACCCATTTCCTCTCGTGGACAAAGTAACTTCACATGATTAGTTGCAAAATATTTTTCTTTCTCAACCTTGTAAAGTCTAAAAGTACTTTACTTATTTAGTTTGTTATGGTAAACTTTGTTATAAATAACTTAACATTTTAAAGTGTGTTAATGAGAGTAATAATACAGCTTGTGTAAAATAAAAGGTCATGGGACCACAACTCAGGACTACAATTGATGTTAAAAGCATTTATATTTTACGTGCTTCTCGGTGCCATGAAAAATTTGTATACGTTGTCCGCTTGAAGTAATTGATTTGTGTTTTGTATCAGTTTTAACGAGTGTAAGTGTTAACTTTATTTCATCAGGTACACCCTCAATGGCACGAGCAAAACGCAATGCATCAATATTGATGAGTGCAGCTTGTCCGTGGCTGATGGACAGACACCTTGCGACTCCATATACGGGACATGCACTGACACAATCGGCAGCTTCAAGTGTGGATGTGTGGCTGGGTACGTGGTCGTTAGCGACAGCCGGACCTGCCAAGACGTGGACGAGTGTCAGAGCGGAATCTACAACTGCACTCAAAATTCCACGTGTCATAACTTAGATGGAAATTATACCTGCATCTGCAACAGTGGATATGTCCGTAAGTGTCTTAGTGGCTATTTCTATAGTACCTGTATGAATTTCACATGCAAAGGTCTATACGAATTTTCCTGACAATAGGGATTCTACACATTAATTGTACAGGCTAACACAACATAAAAACACCAACAAAATTGCCATGTGTCTACCTCCCATCATACATTTTTTGTCTCAAATGTATAGAAATGTAAATTTTCATAGGAATCAGCCCACGGTATTCCCACCCAGGGTGTATATTCATTTGAGTTCAAGCATGTAAACGCACAATGTATTTACGAATGTTTCTTATTCCAATCTTTTCTTCCCCCTCCAAACCACCAGAATCTGGAGAGACGTGCGTAGATGTTGATGAGTGTCAAAAAGCAGGCAGTGCTCTCTGTGGTCATGGAGCCTACTGTGATAACACAATGGGTTCATACGCATGCAGGTGTCTTGCGGGATACGTAGGCAATGGCACTGTCTGCCTAGATGTGGATGAGTGTCTGCTCCCCAGCAACAACTGTAGTGCCAATTCAACCTGCGAGAACACGCCAGGCTCTTACCAATGCAAGTGTGATGCTGGTTTCCAAAGTAAGTTGAAACGTCCGGATTTCCTCTGCGTGATTTTCATGGTTTTGGTATGCGTCAATGTAATAACATGGCTGGAAGGGCAGCACAGTCAAAACACTTGCATGCCACAGCAATAAAGGCCTTGGTGTGATTCCCAACTCGTACGCCTTTCTGAGTGTCTCTTCCTCTTCTGCATGGGGCTTCTACGGCAAAAACAAACACACAAATACATAACTGGTAGAGGCCAAACATCCCAATGCTGAAAATGTACATGCAAATTACCCCCTACTCTGAAAAATTAGCAGGACCCTCCAGTTATATTTATTGTGGCTCAGTGAGGCTTTTCTGAGCAGGCAAGCATAATAATACAGTAGATTTTCGTAAAAAAAATTGTTTTACGTGACTTTACTGAAAGACCCAAAGAATATAATACAATTATCAATACATACAATAATCTCAAGATGAATTGTCACACTACAATCTAACGGTACAATTCTGGGTATGATGGTAAATGTGGTGTATATTTATATTGAGCTTATATTATGTATTTTTTCCAGTTAAAATCCAGACGACTCCTTCATAATGTATTCAAAGTGATTTGTTTCTCGGGATTATACACATTACTCATACGAGCTATGAAAAAATTAAAATACATTACACAAACAAAATATCTCACACGTGCACTTCTCATTCCATTTCTATAGTCTCAAATGTATACAGACATCAGCCCAGCACTGTTCCCGCCCAGGCTATGTAGTATTTTTTTCAATGATACAAATAAAGAAAATTTAGTTTTTCTGGGTTCCAGTGGTGAAATACGTATCTAATGTTGTTCATGTTATTCAAATCTCCCTCCCACCCACCAGAAACTGGAGAGATGTGCACAGATGTCGATGAGTGTCTGAAATTTGGCAGTGCGGCCTGTGGGCCAGGAGCCTACTGTGTCAACACGGTGGGTTCATACAATTGCCCGTGTCTTGCGGGATACATAGGCAATGGCACTCACTGCCTGGATGTGGATGAGTGTCTGCTCCCCAACAACAACTGCAGTGCCAATTCAACCTGCGAGAACACGGCAGGCTCCTTCCAATGCAATTGTGATACTGGTTTCCAAAGTAAGTTGAAGCGTCCGGATTTCCTCTGCGTGATTTTCATGGTTTTGGTATGCGTCAATGTAATCTAGGCTCATCCTACAATAACATGGCTGGAAGGGCGGCACAGTCAAGACACTTGCACGCCACAGCAAGAAAGGCCTTGGTGTGATTCCCAACTCGTACGCCTTTCTGTGTGTCTCTTCATCTTCTTCATGGGGCTTCCTCCAGGCTCAGCGGTTTTCTTCCACGGCAAAAACAAACACACAAATACATAACTGGTAGAGGCCAAACATCCCAATGCTGAAAATGTACATGCAAATTACTAATTTGGGATTATACATAGCAACATTACCCCCTTCTCTGAAAAATTAGCAGGACCCTCCAGTTATATGTCTTGTGGCTCAGTGAGGCTTTTCTGAGCAGGCAAGCATAATAATACAGTTGTTTTTTGTAAAAAAAATTGTTTTACGTGACTTTACTGAAAGACCCAAAGAATATAATAATACAATTATCAATACATATGAAGTATTCAGAATGACAGTACGAGGAAACCTCTTGACGGGTAGCACACTTTTTATTAAACTTTGACTTGTCTCGATACACCGTGTGGTCACTATTCTTCACACTACACACACTTCACTGACACGTGTGGTCACTACCTCTCCCACTACACACTTCACTGACACGTGTAGTGACTATGGCTCACGCTGCATGCTCACACTGCATGCTCACACTACACTCCAGCCCCGTAACGTCCGTGGAGCCTACAGACCCACCCCAGCTTGGGCGTGGGTCACAACCTCTGGGTCCCGAGAGCCGGCCCTCACACGGACGTTCGGCCCCGGGTCCCAGGGTCCCGCCTCTGGGTCACACAGAGCCCCGGTCCTTACAAGGACAGCGGGACTAGGTACCGCAGGGCCCTATCTCTTCCTCCGCCGTCTTCAATCTTCGCTGGTCACCAACTCCCCGAGCGCCCGCGCGCACCGCCTTATATAGCCCTCTTGCGGACCGCGATGTGAGCGCCCACTAGTGGACCAATCACGGCGCGCTATTCCTACGATCCGTTTTCCCAGCGCGTGTTACCACTACACAACCAATCGCCCCGCGCTGCCACACGATCACTCCCTGTCAGCGCGCGTCACCAACACACAGCCAATCACCACCACATAACCCATGACCCCGCGCTGCCCTGTGATCCCTCACCGTCAGCGCGCGTCACCGGCACACAGCCAATCACCACGCGCTGCCCCACGATCCCCACTGTCAGCGCGTATCACCACTACATCACCCCCTCCCACATAGCTCGCAGCCAGCCCGGCTGCTAAACAACACAACAACAACAATAGTAACACAACAAAAACCCAACCCCCCCCAGTGTGCCCCGTAACACAACAACAACAACACAACGACATAACACCAACAACAACCTATGTACAAACCGACAACAACACGCAAAAAAAAACCAACAACAACACACAACACCTAGACAACAAGTTATGTACAAACCGACGAACAACGCAATAAAAGCAAGTCCGAGAAAAAGAACGTGTCCAGTGTCTCTGAGACTATCGATCCCCCCCCCTCCCACTCGCTCCCCCACCGGGGTGCTCGAGCGGCCGAGCGGACGGGGAACGCAGTGACGAGGTTCTCCGGCCGCTTCGGCTCCTCAGCCGGTTGGTCACGAAAAGTAGCGCGACTGAGCGCGAGTCCGCCTGGCCGGTCCATCGTATGGGACGGGATGCTGACGACCGTCTGGTGGCTCCGGCAGCCCTGGAAGGCGCGGATCGGGCCTGGAAGGTCCGGTCGCGCCGCGGGGATCCAGCCGCCGGTGGTCGGCAGCTGTCAGTTCCGGGACACCTGGGAGCAGATCAGGCGGAGACATGTGAGGATCAGGCGAAGACAATTCCCCCCTTAGGTCGTCGGTCACGTCACATGCTCGGCCCTCATGACACAAAGGGAGGCCATATGGAGGCGAGAACGGTTTCAGTCGGGAGGGGTGAACGTACCAACGGCGCTTTCCCCATTTTATCTGAACACACTGGGGGCGTGCAACCCGCACGACCTCCACGGGTCCCCGCCATGGCCTCAACAATTTAGGCGACGTAGCCAAAGGTGCCTGAGGGCAGTGCAGCCAGGCCTTGTCGCCTGGTTTCCAGTTGTGCACGGACACCTTCCGTGCACGCAAACGCTCGTTGGCAATTTGGCGAGCCCGCGAATTAAGCCGTGCGGCCTCCCGTGCCTCGGTCAGCTTATGAATGTTAAATTTAATATGTTCAGCCAATTTCGAATTCGTTCGTGGCGCGGACAGTCCCAGCTGCGTTTCCATGGGCGGGTCGGCTTCCCGACCATACATCAGATAGAATGGGGAAAATCCCGTTGCTGCATGGGGGGCCATTCTATACGCGGCGAGGACCCCAGGGACCTGCAGGTCCCAGTCAACATGTGCCTCACACACCTGCTGGCACAGCATAGAAGTCAAAGTCCTGTGGAGTCGCTCCATCATCCCGTCTGTCTGTGGGTGGTACGGGGAGGTACGCACCTTCTTAGTACCCAATAGGTCGCACACCTCTTGCAACAATTTACTTGAAACATTTTTCCCTTGGTCGGTCAGCAAGCGTTCGGGAGCCCCTTTGTCCAGAACATAGCCCTGGACAAAGGCGTCCGTCACAGCTGCCGCCGACTGGTTGGCGAGTGGCCACGCCATAGGCCACCGGGTAAAGTATTCTACACCAACCAACAGGTACTTGTTACCCCTAGGCGTGACTGGAAAAGGCCCCAAAATATCGAGCGCCACGAGCTCGTTAGTGCGCGAGACCTGAATAGATTGCAGTGGTGGATTTGACGCCACTGGCGGTGGTTTTCGTCTGGCGCACTCAACACACCCCTTTAGGATATTCACCACATCACTTCCCATCCCCGGCCAATAATAGTCACGCTGAAGCAGAGCAAGCGTTTTGTTTACCCCCAAATGCAAGAGGCGTTCATGCGCGGCCAGGACAACTTTCCCCCGCACAACGGAAGGCACCACGAGTGCGTGGCGCCGAGACAAATTGTCCCATCTCATTAACAGGCCCTGCCTGAGTACCCAGGAACCAGTTCGTTCCCGGCCCTCCTCGGGACCCCCCGCCCTGCGACGCAACGCTAGCAGGGAGCTGTCAGCCATTTGGAGACGGCCCCACTCAATCAGCGACAGTGAGAGCAGCGAGTCCTCTCCCACAGGGGTAGCGGGAACATCACCGATCGGTGCATCCGGGGTAGCGGCCAACACCCCCATACTTTCCGCAGCTGGCGGTTTACAGCGCGCCGATCCCAACAAGCACGCACATTTGTGACAAGGCGACAATCGCGACAGGGCATCGACGTTAGTGTGGCGCAACCCCTTACGGTATGTGGTCGTGAACTGATAGTCCTGGAGGACTTCCAACCACCGTGACAATTGGCCCGAGGGCTGGGCGACCCTCAATGAATACTGAAGCGCCGCGTGGTCCGTCCGGACCGTAAAGTGACGGCCATAGAGATACGGTCTAAACTGCTGCACAAAAAAAACAATCGCCAGCAACTCGCGACGGGTGACGCAGTAGCGCTGCTCCGCCGGCGACAAAACCCTGCTACCATAGGCGACCACCCTTTCGACTCCCCCGACGACCTGTGAGAGCACCCCCCCAATGCCCGTGTTGCTAGCATCCGTGTCTAGCAAGAAGGGACTTGTAAAGTCAGGATAACGCAAGGGCGGGGCACCCACCAAGGCGTCCCGGAGGGAGCAGAATGCGGCCTCCTCCTCCGGTCCCCATCGGAACTTGACTCCTTTTGCCGTTAGAGCATGCAAGGGTTTTGCAATGGTGGCGAAATGCTCAACGAATCTGCGGTAGTACGAAGCAAAACCGATGAAACTGCGCACGTCCGAAACCGACGTGGGCGTTGGCCATGAACTGACACAGTTCGTCTTCGCGGGATCGGTAGAGATCCCCGAAGAATCGACAATGTGTCCCAAGTATCTCACGGACTTACGAAGAAGGTGGCATTTGGCCGGTTTAAACTTTAATTTAGCCGATCGCATCCGCAAAAATACTCCTCTCAGCCGCTGGAGGTGTTCCTCGAACGTTTTACTGAAAACAATGACATCGTCCAAGTAAATCAAGCAAGTTTCCCATTGCAAGCCCGACAAGACCAATTCCATAAGGCGCTGAAACGTCGCGGGAGCGGAGTGAAGTCCCATGGGTAACCGGTTAAACTGGAACAGGCCCCCTGGAGTCCGAAATGCTGTCTTAGGTCTAGACTCATCGTCGAATGGCAGCTGCCAGAATCCCGACAGTAAATCAAGAGTTGAAAAATATCGCGCACCAGACAATGCATCGAGGGACTCGTCCATTCTGGGGAGCGGATACGCGTCAGCCACGGATATTTTATTCAGGCGACGGAAATCTACGCAGAATCGCAAGGAGCCGTCTTGCTTTTTAACCAGCACAATAGGTGCCCCCCAAGGACTGGAGGAAGGCAAAATAATGTCGGCCCTTAGCATATCGTTGACGGCCGACTGAACGTGTTCCTTCTCAACAGGACTCAGCCGGAAGGGATTTAGCCTAACCGGTGCCGCATCGCCTGTTTCAATATGGTGGCGCAACAGGTCCGTGCACCCAATGTCATATTTATGCTTACTGAACACATCAGAAAATTCTATCAGCAACGCACGCAGCGCACCCAACTGTACTGTAGACAAATCGTTCGAGTCCGCGCACAGCGAATCGGCCCATTCAAGGTCCTCCCTCGATGGATTGTTCCGCGTCGGGTTTGGATCAACATGCGCAACCAGGCGCTCTTCCCCAGGGACCCGTGCCGCGTGAGCTAGCACAGTGCCCTGCTGAATAACGGCCGGCCGCGAACCGGCGTTTAAAACCATGACGAAAGGGTCCTTGTCAGCCCGAACCAAAGTGTGAGCCACCGACAAATCGAGACCCCCGACAGCCCTATTTGAAGGACCCAAAAGCGTTCCGAGGTCTCCCCAACCAATGGTTTCCTCAACCGGAGGGGAATTAACATCTGTGAACCCGGAGGCACGTGCACAGTGTGCGTCGCCAGCGCTTGTATCGTAGCGCACGCCGTTCGAATTTCGGTAGGACTCGACAAAAATGAAATACGGCGACCCGATGGTAGCTCAATGCAACGCTGATCGATGAGAATTTTAATGGGCATTTTAGCCAAAAAGTCTGTGCCCAACAGACAAGGAACTGCTAATGAGGAAGAAACAAAAACGGGTCCCGACAATTTAATATCTCCAATGCAAATGGATGCCCTAATCTGGCCGACTATGCCCAACGAGCCCCCATTTGCCGCGTAAAATGGCACGTCCACTGGGAGTAGAGGTCGACATTGGACGGGGAGAATGTTGTAAATGAGGTCTGATATAATAGTCGCCGACGCCCCCGTGTCCACTAACACCCTGACCTCGACCCCGTCAATGAATACCGGGACGACCGATGATCCCGCCGACGCAGCCACTATCCTGTGCCCCAACTCAGACCATTTTATGTCCCCTCGGTCCCGCACGAACCCCCCTCGCCGAACCGAATCCCCGATCTCTAACCGGCCTTCCCCCGCCGCAACGCGACGGCCCATGTGTGTCGCGCATGTAGGCCGAGCATGTGAGGTGCCGCGACTTGCCGGGGGTAGTAGGGATGACTTGGGGCCTTGGTCGTCGTCCAGCCGAGGTCCCGTGGCGCGCTGACGTGGAGCGCGGCAACCGGAAGCCACGTGGCCCCGGAGGCCGCAGTTGTAACACGTGATGAGGGACGTCGGAGGTCTCGGTTGCTCCAGCTTGCGGGCCGATCGCAGAGGCGAACGACCCCCCGACCTCCAAGTCCCCCTGTCGTCCCGCGGTGAACGCCTCCTCTCGTGGGCTGACGACTTGGGGCTCGGTGACTCCCGGGCCCGGAGCTAAGGTCACGGCAGCAGTGCAGACGACCCCCTGTTTACGCTGGAGGACCTCATACGCCTGTATACTTGTTGCGACCCGCAAAGAAGAAATATCGACCTCGTCAGCCGTGTTGATGGGGACCCCCAGGTTCTGCGCCAACTTGAGCAGTTGCTCCAAGACCATCGCGTCCTGGCCCTCCTCGTCCATACGAGGGAACGCTGCGTCGGCAAGAGCCAACAACGCTGTGCGGTAGGCGAGCACGGTCTCCGTGTCCGCCTTCCGTCGGGCGTAAAAATGATGGCGACACACCGAGGGAGGTCCGTAGACCCTGGCCATGAGACCCAATGCAGCCTTCAGCGTGGAACGGTCCGACCTCTGTGCGGACCTGAAGGCCGCGAGCGCGTCGTCGTCCAATATGGCAGGCAGTGCCCGCAGCGCCGTAGCGTCGGACCAGGCCGACATTTCCTGATGCGCCAGAAACCTGCGCTGGAATGCTCCCCAGTCTCCGCCTTCCGCCTTGAAGGCTGACAATGTGGGAAGGCGCTGCTGGAAGATGAAGTCGTCGTCCTCTGCCACGTGGTTCCTCCCCGCCCTACCGTCGGTCTGCAAGATGGCGGCCCCAATGGCGGGTGGTTGATGGCGGTCCGCAGCGCGCGCTGATGACGTAAGCGGGCGCGCTTGGAGAACCGCCGCCACGTGTTGCTCGCCGTTCCCGCCAAAAGATGTCCGCACAGTTGAAATGGCGGGAATCGCCAAGTCATTTTGGCGGGAACCCGTGGGACGACCCTGTTGAATGTCCGCCGATGTCCCCGCTCCTCCCGACGTGTTGATCTCTGCCAGGATGGACGCGGCGGCGAGCAGCAGCTCTGCCAGACGGGAGTGCGCCTCGCGGAGCACAGCATCCGACCCCAATCGCTCGTCCGGCGCCCTTGGCGGGTCCTGCGGCGTCGGCATTTCCTCGTCCTCTCCCCCCGATGCCAGCTGGCCCGAGTCGTCAAGGTTATCCTCGCGGTCAATCCCGTGGGTCCGACGGGTCTTCCTTGTATCCATGCCTGGAAGACTGTTTCACTTCTGACGCCAGTTGAAGTATTCAGAATGACGGCAGGAAACCTCTTGACGGGTAGCACACTTTTTATTAAACTTTGACTTGTCTCCATACACCGTGTGGTCACTATTCTTCACACTACACACACTTCACTGACACGTGTGGTCACTACCTCTCCCACTACACACTTCACTGACACGTGTAGTGACTATGGCTCACGCTGCATGCTCACACTGCATGCTCACACTACACTCCAGCCCCGTAACGTCCGTGGAGCCTACAGACCCACCCCAGCTTGGGCGTGGGTCACAACCTCTGGGTCCCGAGAGCCGGCCCTCACATGGACGTTCGGCCCCGGGTCCCAGGGTCCCGCCTCTGGGTCACACAGAGCCCCGGTCCTTACAAGGACAGCGGGACTAGGTACCGCAGGGCCCTATCTCTTCCTCCGCCGTCTTCAATCTTCGCTGGTCACCAACTCCCCGAGCGCCCGCGCGCACCGCCTTATATAGCCCTCTTGCGTACCGCGATGTGAGCGCCCACTAGTCGACCAATCACGGCGCGCTATTCCTACGATCCGTTTTCCCAGCGCGTGTTACCACTACACAACCAATCGCCCCGCGCTGCCACACGATCACTCCCTGTCAGCGCGCGTCACCAACACACAGCCAATCACCACCACATAACCCATGACCCCGCGCTGCCCTGTGATCCCTCACCGTCAGCGCGCGTCACCGGCACACAGCCAATCACCACGCGCTGCCCCACGATCCCCACTGTCAGCGCGTATCACCACTACACATACAATAATAATCTCAAGATGAATTGTCACACTACAATCTAACGGTACAATTCTGGGTATGATGGTAAATGTGGTGTATATTTATATTGAGCTTATATTATGTAATTTTTCCAGTTAAAATCCAGACGACTCCTTCATAATGTATTCAAAGTGATTTGTTTCTCGGGATTATACACATTACTCATACGAACTATGAAAAAATAAAAATACATTACACAAACAAAATATCCCACACGTCCACTTTTCATTCCATTTCTGTAGCCTCAAGTGTATACAGATATCAGCACAGCACTGTTCCCGCCCAGGCTATGTAGTATTTTTTTCAATGATACAAATTAAGAAAATTTAGTTGTTCTGGGTTCCAGTGGGGAAATACTTATCTAATGTTGTTCATGTTATTCAAATCTCCCTCCCTCCCACCCACCAGAAACTGGAGAGATGTGCACAGATGTCGATGAGTGTCTGAAATTTGGCAGTGCGGCCTGTGGGCCAGGAGCCTACTGTGTCAACACGGTGGGTTCATACAATTGCCCGTGTCTTGTGGGATACATAGGCAATGGCACTCACTGCCTGGATGTGGATGAGTGTCTGCTCCCCAACAACAACTGCAGTGCCAATTCAACCTGCGAGAACACGGCAGGCTCCTTCCAATGCAATTGTTATACTGGTTTCCAAAGTAAGTTGAAGCGTCCGGATTTCCTCTGCGTGATTTTCATGGTTTTGGTATGCGTCAATGTAATCTAGGCTCATCCTACAATAACATGGCTGGAAGGGCGGCACAGTCAAAACACTTGCACGCCACAGCAAGAAAGGCCTTGGTGTGATTCCCAACTCGTACGCCTTTCTGTGTGTCTCTTCCTCTTCTGCATGGGGCTTCCTCCAGGCTCAGCGGTTTTCTCCCACGGCAAAAACAAACACACAAATACATAACTGGTAGAGGCCAAACATCCCAATGCTGAAAATGTACATGCAAATTACTAATTTGGGATTATACATAGCAACATTACCCCCTACTCTGAAAAATTAGCAGGACCCTCCAGTTATGTGTCTTGTGGCTCAGTGAGGCTTTTCTGAGCAGGCAAGCATAATAATACAGTAGTTTTTTGTAAAAAAAAAATTGTTCTACGTGACTTTACCGAAAGACCCAAAGAATATAATAGTACAATTATCAATACATACAATAATAATCTCAAGATGAATTGTCACACTACAATCTAACGGTGCAATTCTGGGTATGATGGTAAATGTAGTGTATATTTATATTGGGCTCATATTATGTAATTTTCCAGTTAAAATCCATACGATTTCCTTCATAATGTATTCAAAGTGATTTGTTCCTCGGCATTATACACATTACCCATACGAACTATGGAAAAATACAAATACAGTACTGTTGTATATGTTGAATTATGAAATTTTGATAAAAATAATAAAAATTTATAATTTTCAGAAAAATGCGCAAATCGCATAATTATGATAGTGTGTGTAATTATATGCATAAATTATGATAATCGTGGAGATAATCGTATTAATTTATGCGGATGCTTGCGATTATATTAACGTGAACAGTTATGATAATTAAGCTTAGTTTCGTTTATCCAGTGTTGTATCAATCAGGATAACACGATTATCATTGATTAAACATTTACTGATTATCTTAGTGTGTGTTATGTTATATTAGGTCTCCAGTTTCATATCTCATCACAGGATACAGTTCTTAGGAATAAGACAGTTTTGCATGGACTTGGAAAGAAGCACTCGAACAGTTGGTGTTAAGCAATTTTAATTCTAAACAAACTCATGACACTAGTATGCAAAGGCAAAAGCATACGTCAATAAATCCATGGGCAAGATTATGCAATTAACGAAAATAAATGACTAAAACCTTTCTTATTCATGTAACTCGACGGCAGCAACTGCTTTGCACGATCAGTTGATATTGAACGCACCACCTTGAAATGGCAACCCTTTTTGAAACGCAAAGATAACTTTTTGAAAGTTTTATTCGTGTGGGTGTTGTGTGTGAGTTGTCCCTTGTAAAATTAATTACATTTTCCTTAGAGCCGGGAGTTGTGTCGTTAGCTTGTGGGGTGTGGGAGGGAATATACGAACAGCGGCCAGGTTCTCTCTGGGTTGGGCGTGGCCGCAGCGAGCCGTGCTGCTCCCTCGCTCGGGCGTGTCTCTGCTCGTGCGCTCTCACTCTCCACTGCTGGACGACGAGTTGGCACGACGCTCGCCGACGTGGTGCGCGATGATTCAGTCGTCGCTGCGGACGTCTTGTCTGTTCTCACTGGTCGTTGGTCGGTGTGTGCATCAAACACACGGCGCATGCATTGGCGCTGTCCTCTTCCTCACAGCCGTTTGATCAGGCTTTCTCCACTGCTTCGCGCTCTCTGCTTTGCTCGCTTGGTCGACGCTTGGCGATTTCCGCCCTTTTACAGGTTGATTGCTTGTCGTCACTCTCTCTTCTCCGTGCTTTCCTTTGTTCGTGCAGCTGCCAGCTTCACTCGCACTTAACTTCGTTCTGCGAGAAGCGACACCTGCTATTGGCATCGGTGTTTGCTCCCTCACGACGCTCCGCCAGCCGGAGCACGGCTGAAACTCAGCCTCGACCCAGGTTGAACTCAGACTTCTGCGACTCGAACGACCCCTCCTCGTTCCATCACTTCTCGAGGCCCGACGCGCCCCAGCTCCCTTGCGAGTCCCGTCGCAACGCTGCGTCGCAAGCCGAGTCGCGAGACTGAGCGCGACTTGAACAGACTGCACTCAGGCGGACACTCTAACGACCCCTCGTCGTCCCATCTCTCCTCGAGGCACGATCTGCCCCAGCTCTCTTGCGAGCCCCGTCGCAACGCCGCGTCGCAAGCCGAGTTGCAAGACTGAGCACGACTCGAACCAGACTGCACTCAGACTGTCACTTTAACGACCCCTCGTCGTCCCATCTCCCCTCGAGGCACGATCCGCCCTAGCTCCCTTGCGAGCCCCGTCGCAACGCTGCGTCGCAAGCCGAGTTGCGAGACTGAGCGCGACTCGAACAGACTGCTCATTCGTGATGTGCGCTTGTGCTTAAACTCAAAACGTGACTCCCCTCTCTGCGCATCTCTTGCGAGAGGAACAACAGACCAAAAAAACAGATGTCCTCGGAATGTCAGCACAGACCCCCCCCCCCTCGCGACCCTTTGACCCCTCCTTCCTCTGAGTGGGTCATTCCGAGGCCAGACCCCCAATACGTATTCAGGCTGTATTTGTTTGTACCAAATCGTTGGAAGACAAAGGTGGCCAAGGAGATTTTTGGTTCTATGGAATGCATATTCTTTAAGTTGTGCGTGGTTGACCTATTTTGACTTCCTATTCTTCTGGATGACCGTTGTTCTAACTCTTAATAATTATTATTCGGTTTGTGATTTACCATGGTTATTAACACGTATTTCGTAGAGTTTATTGATGTTTGTTGTCTATCTGTATACAGGGATCGCACCGTTTTACTCGAGTTATTTTATTATTTGGTTCTTTCGGTTAAGTCACGTCTAAAGATAAAATAATAAATTAAATTAAATAATAGAATACGACGTTTCGATTGCAACACAAGCAATCATCATCAGGTATAATGAAATAGCGACATAAAATCTAACCAGAAAACTATAGACAGACATATTAGCAGACAGATATCACCAAGATACATAGAGAGAACAACACAGGTAACAGAGAGAGGTGATCGTCTCTGTGGGGTGGCCTTAAATAGACAGAGGGGGGCGGAGGCAGAGAGAGGGAGGGGGGGTTAGAGAAAAAATTAGCATATCAATGAGTGAACAACAAAAACGTGGTGCTGCAAGTGCGATGACACGGCAAGCAAGCCTGAAAATCAGGAGGACACACTAAAATTAAATAACCTAGTAAAATATCGAAATGTAATGTAATACAACACAGAGGGTCGGTCAACACACAATTAACGCATAGCCTGGTTGATTACGTATTTCAAAGATTGCTAAGTTAGAATTTAAGTGTGAACATTCCAAAGAGAGGACACAGGCAGAGAGAACAAGTAAGATCGAGTTATTTTTTTTTATGTCTTGAGGTTAAGTGTAAGTAAGTTGCCACTTACGCTTCCTTAACTGTTGGAATTCGTAATTATTATTTTTTGGTCAGGTAGATAGAAACATACAATACAAAATAATATATACGGTGAATACGAGTAATATAAGGGAATATCTAATAACAAGCCCCTATTGTTTGCTGGTTAATTCTTTTTGTTAAGTTTCTACTTTTCGGTAAGGAAAACGTTAAAGCAAACGCGAGTTGCAACCGTTGTTATCCTTTACTCTGCACCTTATCCGTGCATCTCCAGATGTCTTGGGAGGTTAGGCCATCGACCTTTGTCCATCTGGATGTCTCTGACCTCTCTGTGCTCTGAAATCTTGCCACTTAATGGCCCTCCCTGTTTTACAGATTCCTGGTGTGCTTGTGAGGAGTAGTGGGTTGTTTTCATTATTTAATTAAAAAAAATATATATATAAAAAATTAAATTCTTAATTATTCTTAATATTAATAACGGAAAACAGGGCATAGATACAACAATCCGCCCTTTTAAAAATTATCAGTGGTTGATTCGGCCACTGGCGAATTTTTAAACAAAGTAAATGCCCCTTTTTTTTTCGTTATAAATCCATCAGCCGCCCTCACTCTCGGCGGTTACTCCTTAGCATGCGCGCGTACGTATCACAATCTTAACATGGTTACATTTGAAATAAGCAAAGAAAATAAAACAAAACGTTAAACATCGATACCACATGTTACATCGGTTCTCATCCATCATAACTACGGCGAATATTCATTTTTGTTTTTGTTAAATCCTGGGACACGCTAGGTAGCGGTTTCGAACGCATTCCTTACAACGCGCGTGTACGTATCACAATCTTAACATGGTTACATTTGAATTAAGGATAAAAAATTAACATCAAGGCAACAAGTTACATCGGTTCTTATCCATCATAACTACGGCGAATATTAATTTTTGTTTTTGTTAAATCCTGGGAAACGCTAGGTAGCGGTTTCGAACGCATTTCTGCGTTATTTTCCTCCTGTTACCTCCTTGCAATCTTTTTACCAAGTTATTATCATCTGGTTTGCCACTTTTAATTTTAGGTAGCAATGCTGCTCCCCATGCACTGTCCTTCAGACTTGGTTCGTCCATAGCCTTTTCCTGTCCATTAACCATATTTTCATGGCCAGATATTTTAGAGTAACCCTTGACTCTTTCATGCAATCTCCCAACATCATTAACTTGGTTCGTAGTGCGTATCGCTTTGATCTTTCGATCACGGTTTTCAGGTTCGTTTTTGTAATTTCCTCTCTCATTCTCTCGCGTCAGGGGATTGTGTGGTGTAAAATTGTGCTGCACATAATCAGAATTCGCGCACACAACCAACTTCTGTACTCCGTTATCAGTGGCCCTCGCTCCCTCTGCGACATCCTGCACATTTGCCGAGTCAGTTTCAGCATTCCGATCCACATAAATTTTTGTTTCATTTGGATATTTTCCATTCAGAGGCTCACGCCTGCACTTTTCAGGGCGTGTCTCTGTGTTCCCTCTCCCTGCACCATTATCGCGCGCTCCTGCATTGTGCTGGGTGGCTTTACCTTTTTCCGGGCGATCCAGTTTTCCTATTTGTCTGTTAT